GTAGGGAAATAGTAAAGGAGTGCACACTCTCCATTGTGTCAAAAAAATCACTAGCATCTGGCACTGCTTTGCAAGTGTGGCATGAGACTAAGTTCAGCTTGTGTACTGTACATAGTAAACATATATTACTTCAGGGTGATTTTCTTGGAAACGTGCTTACACGCCACCAACTGCTCCCCTCATAGCTGAACCAACCACCATCATAGTCGTTGTTAGGATAAACACAACGGCTGAAAAGTTCCGTTACAAATAGAAAAAAATTGAATGGATAGCGTCTCTTGTTATCCATAATTGCTTATAAACTTTGCTCTCCCCATATCCAAATATATCTCTACTGTAGCAGAAACACAAATAAAGAACGTAATATTACTTTCAATAAATGGAATCTGACAAAATCACAGCATCACAATATCACACAAGCCTCGTGAACTTCCTGAAGTATAACTGACGAACCGGTGACGGAAGGTTGCCAGCCGATGCCGTGTTTGCCAATTATTGCCACAAAATTTGGATCTTGATCACATATTTACAATTACCATGTTTTCCATCTTTTTTCAGCAGGGATGAGAGGTCTCCATTTTTTCCATCATTCTAGGCGACCCACGTGAGTCACGTAGATCCGCTGATAATTTTTTTTTTGGAGGGGGGGGGTGATATGACCATGATGATGAGAGAAATGTTTGACAATAAATAACAATAATTGACCCTCTAGGGTGGATGGGTTTACTATGCGAGTGTATCCGTCACCATCTGCTGTATTCTTGAGGTAGATAGCTGTATTTGGTGGCTACTTGAACTTTGGTGGGTTAAGTTATCAAAACCCACAATGGACCTTCTCCATTTATTTATAAAAAAATATATATCATGCACAGTCATTAAGGAGGTCGCCGTAATTACACTATAAACTGTGAGTGTTATGGGAAGACGTAGCTTAATTGGGCTAAGCCGAGTTCAACGTCTTATGCTCGTGAAAGGTGAGTGAATACTGAGGGCAGAGAGCTGGCTTCTTATGGCTGACTTAGCCTCTTTAGAATCGTGCCCTCCAGTGGAAACTACTGATCACATGATAGCTGTGTGTGACACTCACATGTCATGGACAACTACGGGGGGCTGACTATTATTAGTCAGGGGCTAATACACGATGAGCCAGTATACTGAGTATAGTGGTCCCACACTACATGTTCTTGTACTACATCATATACTCTATTTCTCATTGGCTGAGTATTGTTTGTTTTGCATTCCATTCTTCAATTCAATGGTAAGTCATTGACCAAAGATCGATGACGTCATACAACGCCACTGTTAAAAGCATTATAATGTGGCCCTCCACCCTATCCACTTGACCCACCCTGTGGTGGGGGAGGGGCTAAGCACTCTTCAATATAACTAAGTTTCTATAATCATTTTACACTTTCTGATGATCACAATTTATTCTACAGTATAACCAATGCCATATTTCATAGTTGTATAGGCAACTCAGTGTCCCCCAGGAGGTCAGGGCTGTAGGGCATGTGTGTGTCCCCCAGGAGGTCAGGGCTGTAGGGCATGTGTGTGTCCCCCAGGAGGTGAGGGCTGTAGGGCATGTGTGTGTCCCCCAGGAGGTCCCAGAGGGGGGATATCTGCCCTCCTGGTTGGTTAGTTGTTTGGGCTTTAGTCCTATCATCTGCCAGGGTCATTAAGGCTATCAACGTCAAGCTACATCCACCAACATTAACACCTTCTTCAGGTGTTGAGGATAATTCTAGGATCACATGCACTCACTATATGTGGTCCTTGACTTGCGTCCTTCTACCTTACTCGGGTCCACCACAACCTAGTCCTCCTCCCATCAACACCTCCCCCACCCTCTTGTGACCTGTCTTGTAGAAAGCCCTTAGCTCGTGGGTATAGTAGTAGGAGAGGTGGATGATTACCTTTGACTGTGACTGTACTATATGGGTCAGATTTCATCCAGTCTTTGTAAGATGCTACAGTACTGTATTTGTATTGTTAATTGGATTACTGGTTATCCATGTACAGTATAAGTTATCACTCATAATTTATTCTTCATTCCAGAACGTGCTGTGACAGAAACTATTGCTACAACATAAAATGTCGGACAAAATTCTTGTGGCTGTCCGTGTGCGGCCACTGATTGTGAGGGAGGCAGCAGCCTCTTCCACTGTGCACTGGCAGATTGGTTCTGATCAAACCATCACACAGATAGATTCAGCCACTCAAAAGGCCCTATGTACTCCATATAAATTTGGTAAGTACTGTAATAAGATTGTGATGTGTCTCATTTTATATTAGAGTGCAGGAAAGCAAATGCTGATCTGGAGGGCTGTTATAATGATGATCCTTTTGTTAATCTTTCAGTCACCGAATGGAATTTCTGGATTCAATCCTCATTTTTTAAAAATTTAAAATTTTTTGAACATCTCAAGTCAGTGGGCTTACAACATAATCCCATAGACTTTATTTATTAGTTTATCATCATGGCACCCTGATTTCTCTCAAAGTGTTTATAGACAGTTTCCAGCCATGATATCAGTTGGCATTGGGTATCTACCATGAGACTGTGCCTCTTCTAAGTAATACTCGAGTGTCCTCGAGGTTTTCTTGGGGTAGTGAGGCATTTATGTTATCTAGACATAACCAGAATTTTGTTTTTACTTTTCAGACCGTGTGTTTGGAGCTCAGTACAGTAATAACGATGTGTATACTGAGGTGGCAGAGGCCATTGTGGAGTCTACTCTTGGTGGCTTTAATGGTACCATTTTTGCTTATGGTCAGACATCATCTGGTAAGTGCCAGAATTTGTATTATGTCCCAGGGACTTAAGTACCGTTAAATCTGAGGCCCCACAGTAAAAGTACAGTACAGTATATTCTTATCAACATAATACACTGTAGTGCAAATGGCTTTATTTTACTGAAGTATACTTTACTTCTTGGAAGCATGCCTTTATTCAGCCCATCCCGAAGAAGGGTGACCATTCTAATCCCTCTTAACTATTGCCCCCATTGCCCTAACTTCATCCCTCTCTAAGATTTTCGAAACTATCTTAAACTCTCATTTTCTCCGTCACCTTGAACGCCTTTCTTTTTTGTCGGATCACCAGTATGGCTTTCGCCAGGTGAGATCTACTGGTGATCTGCTCTCCTACTGCACCCATCTTTGATCATCCTCTCTTAGGGACTATGGGGAAACTTTCGTCGTGGCCCTCGACATCTACAAAGCATTTGACAGGGTATGGCACAAGTCTTTGCTTTCTAAACTTCCCTCTTATGGTTTCTCTCCCCGACTTTGTTCTCTAATTTCTAGCTTCCTTGTGAACCGATCCATGGCGGTTGTTGTCAAGGGATTGATTTCTCGCTCTTTCTCTACCAATAGTGGCGTCCCACAGGGTTCTGTTCTTTCACCAACTCTCTTCCGTCTTTTTATCAATAATTTACTTCACACTGTGACTAATTCTAATTATTATGCTGATGATTCTACTCTTCACTCTTTTTCACATTTTTACCTTCCCCTTAATTCTGAAACTAGATCTGTTTCTAGAGCTGATATAATTTCATCTATCAATGTAGATCTGTGCAGCATCTCTGAATGGGGAGGTAGAAACTTGGTTAAATTCAATAGTAACAAAACTCGGTATTTACCTATTACACTTTCCAAATTAGATGATCTCCCACCAATCACATTTCAGGATGCAATCATTCTGCCAAATTCTAAAATAGATATGCTAGGCCTCACCATTTCCTCTAATATGTCATGGAAGCCACACATCCTCAACATTGCTAAAGCTGCCTCCCAAAAGCTGGGAATGCTGTACAGATGCCGTAGCTACTTCACCCCTGAGCAATTGCTTCAAGTTTATAAGGGATTCATTCGTCCTATCTGGGGTGGCTCTTCTGCCCAACTGTTAAGTAGGGTGGAATCAAAGGCATTTCATCCTATTGACTCTCCTCCTTTAGTTGATAATCTTTCTTTCCTTTCTCTTTGCCACAATGTTGCTTCACTCTTTCTCTTTTACAGGTACTTTAACGGGCAATTTTTGGTGGATTTGGCATCCTGTATACCGCCGGCAAGGCAGTGGGCTCATAACACTCATCTTGCCTGCGGTGCCCACAGTTTCTCTGTGGCTGTCGGTCATACTAGAGTAACCCGTAAAGGTACAACCTTCTTTCCCCACACAGCCAAACTGTGGAATGCTCTGCCCTTCTTCTGTGTTTCCATACTCATACAATCTGTCTCACTTCAAAAAGCTGGTTTTCCGGCATCTTCGTGGTGTAGATTAATATAATCTTTTTCTTTTCTATTTTTAATCTCTTTTTACTCTTATTTTTTGGCTCCTTAGGCCCCTTTGTGGGTCGATGACCTCCCAGGTAGGCGATTCCCTGAAAAAAAAAAAAAATAATAAATAAATATTAATTATATACTGTATATGCAGACACTCCCCAGGTTATGGTTGTGTTCCATTCCTGTAGGCTGTCCATAAGCTGGAAGTGACCCTTCTATATATAATCATTGAACACACACAGTACAGGGGGTCCTCGTTATGAGTGGTTAATAGGGACCAGGAAAAAGCCACTGATAATGAAACCACTTATAAAGGGGAATTAATTCCCATAAGAATTAATAGGAATGGGGTTTAATGGGGACCATCTCATTGTAAGTGACAATCATAAAGTTTAATTTTGTAACTTTTATCTGTAATATATTTACCTTAGAAACATTTATTAAACATTTCATTACACATTATTTTATGAAATTATTTAACGTTACAACTTACTTAAAATACTTAAAGTCGTTTGGGGTCGGTGTGTTGATGAGGGGCAAACGACCTAACCATGCACTCGCACGGTCATTTCAGCGAAAGTGGTTCATTGAGACACGCTCACTAATATTCTTATTGACATGTATCTTCTCATTTCACATCCATCCCATAGCTACTGTGCTTCCTTTTAGCCACTACACCACCTTGCTTTGGTTTGGAACTGATGGCTACAAAAATAGTCCACCAATGTCACCAGAGACACAAGAAAGATGTTGATTATAGTTCTTAGAGCACTTCAAAATAATGCCTGTGGACATGAGCGTCTGGTACTGAGCATGCATAGTGCTGGTGCCAAGGATGACCTTTAAGATAATGGGAGACGGGTGAGAATTGCAATTGCTCAAACACGTGTGGTCCCCAAAATTGATAGATTTCGGCCTTAGAATCCTCTTAACTGTGGGGACTTTTTATGTGTAGGTCTGCAATTATTTGACCACTTACATGCAAAACCACTTTTAATGATGACACCCTGTACTACACATTATGTACTGGGGTACAGTATGTACAATTACTTTGCAGTATAGGTATGGGACCTTTTAACTGGCATTCTTGGGACCTCGGAGTTGCCAGATAGGGTTTTTTCCCCGAAGTTGGAGCACCATGCCTAAAATGTATAGTTAACCCTTTCTGACTGGCTGTTAAGACTGTTCAGATCACTCACCATTAACAGTAGCTTTAACTCTACACTCTAACATTAAAACTTATTGTAGGCATATAAACATCAGTAACAAAAAGTTACTGTTCAAACTGCATCACTGTCGCCCCTGGTGTCTGTCCTAGCAGCGGTTGTGTGCCACAGACCCTCTGACCTCTACACTCGCTACACAGTTTCACGGTGGAATTACCACATTATAATTACAGTATTTATTTAATTTATTTTTACACTCTGTTTGTACAATTGTGTGTGTATGTAAATGAGTAAAAATATAAATAAAATTACGTATATGCTTTCTACCTGAAATTCAGAATTTTTTTTGCACTTTTGCTGTGTTCGATTGTGTGTGCGTGTAGCTGCATAATTTTTTTTTTAAAGAAAATTATGTGTATCTACCTGAAATTACTTGTTAAAAATAGTTTATGCCTTATAATTAGTGGCACAGTAAGTCCTCGCTTAACGTTGGGGTTACGTTATACAAAACAACGTTAAGTGGATCAGTTTTCCCCATAAGCAATAGATAAAATATGGGAGTTACATTTCTGAGCCTCCCTTTGCCCCATGAAATATATTACATGTACATAAATTCAAAGCTCCTTGTGTGATGTCTGGTGAGGTGTTTGTATGAATTACTATAAAGTCACATTCATTGAGATTTATAAGAGAAAAACTTAAAGCTTCTCTACATGACAGATAAATAAATACCACAAGGTAACAGTTGTCTGCTTTCCGGCCCAGCTGTCATAATAAATCAACTCCCCCTTGGACTTCCGGTAAGGGTGATGTGGTTTTATAGGCTTAAAGTTTTTATCTTATAAAATGGCACAGACTAAAGTTAGCAGAATATAAATTGCATTGCTGTAATCCTTGCAAGATAGTGAATAATATGAATACAGACATCATATATTTTGCACAAGAGAATTTTTTTTTAGTTCCTTAAGTACATTTAACCCTTAAGCCCCTGGTTAGGGTGCCGCTGGTAGTACCCCCACTGTGGGGGTAAATCGGGAAAAATAAACTTTTCCAAAAATAATTTTTAACCTTTTTAAATGATAAAAGAATAAAAATAAGTAAGAAAAATTATATATCGATCCACTAGAAACTTCCCTGGCAGCGAGGGGGGAGGAGTGTTGGCTTGACAGCTGACTCTCATGGTCCTTACGCACTTGGCACCTACAGTATTTTTAGCTCGCCTTTGTGTCTGAGGTGGCCAATAATGCATATATTTACTGATCTTAATAATTATTTGTTATAAATAATTCATTTAGAATATTTTATTTGCATTATTTTTCATAAAAAGTGCTTGGCAACACTCACCAGTCGGTCGCCTGGCTGTCGTGTTGGTAGAGCAAGTAATGCGTAAAATAATAATAATTCCACAAGTAATATATTTATAACATAATTATAGCATTATTTTACAATAATACTATAATTACAATACAACTACACTACTATTATCAATATTACTTAAATGCAACATGATAAAGTAGACAAACAATGAAAATGAAACAAACAAAAGTAGGTAATTATGTTCAGGAAGCTTCCCTGTGGCCGAGGTGTGGCGTGACAGGCAAATAGTCACACTGGAACCTGAAAACCTACGCTGGGCATTTAAACAGTGGTGGGACAAGGCACGCGTTCTGGAACGTCACCCGGGGCCTAAGGGTTAAGTGCTGTACATGATTTTCAACTTATTTTTTGGTAGATATAGTAACTTTTTTCATTTATCTTTACTCATTTACATGCACACACCATCCTAAATACATATTGTGAAAAAGGTAAATGAAATATTTGTCCTAAGGGAGAGGGTGATGCGCTGTAAAAAGTAGTCCGTGACGAGGCAAACGACTTAGTACCGAGTCACCGGGGCGTTAAACGAATGTTTGGTCTCTAAAGTTTAGCAACGTAGTACCGAAACAACGTTAAGCGTGCCGACGTTAAGCGAGGACTTACTGAACAGTATTTTTAATATTATTTTTTGCACTTTCTGTGTGTAAGACTGAGTGTATGTGACTGAAAAAAATTGAGATTACATATACAGTAGCCATCCAAAATTACGAATTTAAAAATAACCAAAACATAACAGATCTCACAGGCTGGGTATGGTTGGAAATATCCCCACTTGGCCTGGGAATTACATGACTTACTTTAAATAGGACTTATGGGAGAGTATGTATCCGTAAAGTCGGAAATCTGTAACCTGGAGAATGTCTACTCTACTCTACTCTACTCTACTTGATTTATAGATTTTTTAGCTGAAGTAGCAGGATTTGTTTCAGGGTTACACATAGGGCTCTAAAGAATTGCATTAAACTGATGACGTTTTTAGTAATTCTTATTTTCCTAGATACTGTACACTACTCGAGTTACTATACTACAGTACTGTATACATGGATGAAGGTAACACTGACACCAACATGTGCATATTCACTGCTCACAGTATGAGGGCCAAGTGTAGAGGGTTGAGACTAAACCTGATGTCCCGTATAAGGTCACAATGTTATAAATCCCTTGATAACCCATGTACAGTAAGTAGCTTGTGGAAAGAGTATAGCTGATTCTCACTTGTTTTTCACTGCCAATAATTATAATAGTCTTTATGTTAGTATTAAATGTTAAGCTTTTTAAAACATTTGGATAGGTCAGAGTTGACTGAATTAATAGGTTATTTGCTTTGAATTTATTGACTATAAAATTACCTGTACAAGGGAATGGTTTTATATATTTTTCTCTCTTTATTCATCTGTGAAGGCAAGACATACACAATGATGGGTGACAAAATTAACCACGGAATCATCCCTCTGGCCATTAAGAATATATTCCGAAGCATTGAGAACACTCCGGATCGAGAATACCTTATAAGGTTGGTATAAGTTGAATGATTTGTTGGCATTACAGGTACAGTAATATCTCCGTTAGCTGGAATCCCTCAAACCCGGAACTCTCCGATAGCTGGAATTGAAATTTTCTCGGAAAATCGTAACCAAAGCCGGAAGTTTCGGGAAAATTTCGGCTTTGGGAACGATTTTCCGAGGGGCACATTTTCCGGAAAATTCCAAGAAAATTTTCCCGATACCCGTAAGATTCCGGGGATGGGGGATTTTTTTTCCAGGTTTGAGAGATGAAAATTAGGAGCATTTTCTGGAGATTCCGAGAAAAAAATTCCGGGGATGAGGGATATTTTTCTGGGTTTGAGAGATGATGTAACTTTTTATATTTTATTAACCCAGCACTAAATGAAATAAATAATATGGGAATTATAGATGAAATTGCATTCAGTTATAAAGGGATCACAAGCTACTGAGCGGGAGGTGGTACGTTGTTTTCTTCTCTCTCCACCTCCCCCTCCCCCTCTCCTCTGCTACATACCCAAACATTATAAAAAACAAAATTATTTACCCCCAAAATCCCACACTCAATCCCTGATGAGCAACTCCCCTTAGTATATTCCTCTCTTGTTTACGGAGTGGCAACAGCTGATCATTCCTGCTGACTCACTCTCCCTAACTGTTACCAACACTCACCATCTCTCAGGGAACATTGTTGTCACTAATTAAGAGAGTTGGTGTTTAACACATACACACACACACTAGAAAATCCTCTCACAAATAATTAGAAACAAGACAACAAAATGTATCAAATGTAGAAAAATATACGAGTCTTGGCGAAGAAAAAACAATCACAGGTTTCCCATTGACTGTAATCTTCATCTGAATAAAATTAATTACAAATTTACAATATCCTGGTATTCTATTGAACGTCTTGTTTATTGCATTATGCTTCAGTTTGGTCTGTTAAGTATTTCATTATAAATAAAAAAAACTATTTTACATTTATTCAAGTTTTATAAATCCATCAACATTTTCAATTGGCATTTAATTTGTAAAACTCCACTTTAAAAATAATCCATGTAAAATTGTAAATGTATATGTACTAATATGGAAAAAATAAAGGATTTTAAGTATTATATTCATATTATTTGGAATGCACTTTTTGAGGCAGACAATCTTGGAAAGGAGGGGGGAATGACATTCTGACATATGGTGAAAGGGGTGCATGGGGCAAACAAGGTTGAGAACCACTGCTCTAGAATAAACAGTGCTTCACATTCTTTTGCAAAGAATGTGAGAGAAACATTTTGCAGCTACTTTAACCCTTGCGTCTCAGGTGACATTCCAGAACGCGTGCCTTGTCCCGTGACTGTTTAAATGCCCAGCTTGGGTTATCAGGTTCCAGTGTGACTATTTGCCTGTCACGCCACACCTCGGTCACAGGGAAGCTTCCTGAATGTAATTACCCACTTTTGTTTGTTTCATTTCCATTGTTTGTCCATTTTATCATGTTGTATCAAAGTAATGCTGCTAAAAATAGTGTAGTTGTATTGTAATGTAACATTACTGGAAAATAATGCGATGATTATGTTATAAATGTATTTATTTGTGGAATTATTATTCCAATAATTATTTTATGCATTACTTGTTCTCCCAAACACAAAGACAGCCAGACAGCGTTTGTCTCCGAGCACTTTTTATGAAAAATAATGCAAATAGAATATTCTAAATGAATTATTTATAGGAAATAAGTATTATGATCAGTAAATATATGCAGTATTGGCCATCCCGGACACAAAGGCAAGCAGAAAATGGCCGCTAAGTGCGGAGTGACCACGAGCGTCAGCCGTCAAAACAACACTGTCCCTTTATTTCCCTCGCCACTGCTGCAACAGGGAAGATTCTAGAGGGTCAACATATAGTTCTTCTTACTTATTTTTTATTGTTTTATCATGTAAAAAGGTTAAAAATTCTTTTTGGAAAAGTTGATTTTTCTCGATTTACCCTCGTGGGGGGTACAGCCTGTGGTACCCTAGCCCGGGGCAAAAGGGTTAATAGTCCACAAGGATCTGTTTCTTGGCAAGAATAAGCTATTAGCAGTGGAAAATGAATGCATAGCCTTTGGTTTTGGTGTAGAATGTGAGGATTCGCTCAACTGAGGAAGCGAAAATCAAAACATTTGATCGCTGCTTCGAGGTTGTGCGTCTAGTTCCCGCTTCCTGGTCGCTTATGAATGCTTCATGCGCCTACATGGAACGCATCAAAGAAAAATGTATGTTTGTCAGTAATACCAAGTTAGCGCATTCACTCTTGTGGTCGCTCGATGCAGCAGGACACTCGTAGTTGGGACATCGCCTGAGGACTGTGTATATTTTGGTGCATTAAAATACTGTACTTGATTCATCCGTGTTTACATTACTTGGTGTACAGTCCATACATTAAGATTAAAATTAACATGTTTTTGTCTGTAATGTTACCTGTCTTTTAGATTGAAAATGTATTATTGGTTGTAAAACAAACTTTTCACATCCTGGAAGAAGTATCCAGCCTATAGTATGTGAAGCTATACTGTACTGTAGTGGGAAGTGCCAAGCTTTGTTATATCAGAATTTCTTTTGTTTTGGACCATTAAGTTGAGTTCAGGTATTTGTTCATGTAAAGTGACATACAGTCAACCCTCGCTTTACGCGGTCCCAGATTCCGCGTTTCCACGTTTACGCGGTACCCTGCCGAAACAGGAATGCTCACATTCCGCTGTGCGTGTACCCCTTTACGCAGAGAGCGGCTGGCGAGCCGCGCCATTTTTGGATTCACATCTCCCGCCATCTCTCCCACCATCCGCCATGTTGTGTAAGCTGCGCGAGCATGGTACGTACAAGGTCGCCCAGTCATCAAAACATTACCGAGTTCTTCACCCGCCACCCACCACAGCTGGTCCAAGTCAGTGATAATTATAGAGATAAAGATGATAAATGATACAAAATAATCTGCCCTCTTCCCCGGAACCAACATGTCATGAAGTGTTAGAAAACTATTATTGATATTTCTCTTAATTATTAATTGTTTGTGCATAAATATTTTCAGTTGATAAAGTGGAGTTGATTACAATTAATCACCGTGTTATGTTTTCATTCAGTGAGTTGATATCAAAGGAATATAGTAAATACTAATACTTTTTATATAGATTTTTTAATTTTAATTATCATATGCTAGAAGAATCAGTACATCCTGTCCCTATTATCATGAGTTGATATTATCTTTCAGAGCATAAATCTATAGACAAATCAGGGCTTTTAAAATAGTTGATGTAGGTACTGCATGGGTTTTAAGCTCACTACTTTATTATATAGATCTTTATAGAAAACTTTGAGGTATGGGGACTTTGCACATATGGAGAGAATGGAGGAGATTATCTGTATCAGCATGAAATATAATGGGGTAGAGATAGGGGGTAGGCCAAGAATGACATGGGGAGAGGTTATAAGAAATAACCTCAGATAATAATCTGACGAGAGAGGCTGCAGGTAACCCTGGCTAAACCATGTAAGGGTGGAAAATGGACATAAAATGGTGATGAGGATGAATAGAATAGGACAGAAATTAGTAAAATAATACTGTACTGTACAAGAATATAAGTCCATACATACGTACAGAGTACTTTCTTGACTCACACTGTGGTTCTAAAGCTCTACAACCTATTTATCCTAGACATTACAGTACTCTCAATGACCTAGTTTCTGTCACTTCTCATTTGGTTTAGCATGTATCAAGAGTCCATCATTTAAACCCACATAATAATGTTTGATAATTTCCCCCTCCCTGCCTTTGTCTCCTTTCACATACTGTACTTGTATCTCTCATTTTCTAGTCCTCTTGATTTTTAATATTTTTTTTTCTAAAACCGTTTTGTGATATTGTAGAGCTAAGATCCTTTAAGCACTTTCAGTTATGGAGCCCTTCCAAATCTTCCAATTGGTTAACGTTATAAATTCCTTCAGTTCTCAGATCTTCAAACATATATATTAAAATTCATTTTAACAATTATTTAACATAATTGAAGTACAGAAACTAGGTTTTAGTCGCAAACAGCCACTTGCCTCACCCAGCATGGCGTCAGTTTGTGTCCCTGCTCAGTGGAGGTAACATCTTGCTTGAGACACTCTTGAACATAAACTATTTTTACATTTTACAGTACAATTATTGGTCATTCTGAAATTTATTTTATATTGACAATATATAGTGCAGTGCAGTGTTGATTTAAAGAAAATAATTTTGAATTACAGCTGTAAACTTAAATTTTATGGGTGAAATGACGGCATGAAGCATGGGTGACTTCTCTTCCTCCCCCACTTCCTTCTCTTCTCTTCTCCTCCACCCCCTGCTTTTAATTCCCATCATCATCATCAACCAGGAGCCTTCTACATACACACCTCAAAGTAAGTGTACTTTACTGCATTTATTTTTACTTTGTATGTAAATTTCGGTGAGCTGGAACCAATTACCCAAAATCCCTTTGAAACAATGGATTCGGATAACGAAATTTTCGGTTAACGAACGACCTTTTGGAACGAATTGTGTTAACTGAGGGACCACTGTACAGGCAATTAAAACATCTACTAATTACTTAAACACGTAATATTAGGAGGACACGTCGCTACCTGGCATTTAATTGCAATTCTCAAAACCCCCTCCTGCAACCTCCATCACACACATTGCTACCCTCATCTCTTGCCCTAGAGCGAGCAGCAAACAAATGTCAACTCTCGAGGGGTGGGATGTCGACGTCGCATTCTGGACTATAACACAAAAACTGTTTTTAGAAGGCAGTGACCCTTACTAATCTTCTTAATCCAAAAATTGACCATGCCATCTCTAAGCATAGTCGCTTTCATGTAATTCACATCTTCAGGGGTGCGTATACAGACTAAGGAGAAATACTGGATAATTTTGTGATTAAGATGATTTGTAACCAGGTGAGAAGGTTGGGTCATCTTACCCTATGACCTTACTACGGACAGCTGCTGTGCTTAGAGATGACATGGTCAATTTTTGATTAAGAAGAATACTGTAGTAAGGGTCACTGCCTTATGGCCTGAACATTGTGGACCCCTGCTGTCCCCTAGGGACTTGATCTCACTCTCCTCTACTGTATATTTTAGCCTTGTCAAGTATTTCTCCTCAGTCTGTACTCACCCCTGAAGATGTGAATTAAGGGACCCACTAAATAACTATCCTACATCTAGCTCCAAGGTTTTCAAAGCATTTTAGCCACTGACAAATAAATTTATGTAACATATCAGTTTTGAACTGACCATCACTAAGGTTTATTGATTTTAATTCCTTGATCAAACTAGTTTCAACCAGAAGTCTTTCTGTGATGCAAGATGATTTGAATACTTCTAAGCTTTTTTCCCAAGCATTGGGATGATTATTATTCCTAACATGAACGAACAAGGCACTGCTTTCAGATGCTGTTCTGATATTGTACTTATGTTGTTTGATTCTGAGCTGCAATGTTTTTCCTGTCTGTCCTACATAATTACCATTACATTTGCTACATGGAATACAATAAACACTTCCATTTACATTCAAAATGGAATTGCTGCTGATAAAAAGATTAGTGTGAAGCAACAAGGAATAAATGTGATAGATATCTTGAGTTCAATTGGTGGCCAAACACATCTGTTACAGTGTGTGTGAAAGTGTGTGCACGTGCAAATATGTAATAATAATAATAATTATAATAAACGGTTTATTGAAAAAGGTTGCAGCCCGAAGGCTGAAAATATACATTGGATACAAATGACTTATTACATACATTGGTGGTTTAACAAAAGCCTTCATTAGAGAAAGGTGAAGGAACATACAGTGAACATACAGATTAATGTTTAACATTAGATCATGGCTGAGGTGCTGAACAGCGAACCACGTAGTTTAGTAACTCCCTCACAGGTGGTGTTATGAGGGGCTTGACGTGGTGTAGTAATTCCCTCACAGATGGTGTTACGAGGGGCCTGATGATGTAGTAGTTACCTCACAGATGGTGTATGAGGGGCCTGATGATGTAGTAATTCCCTCACAGATGGTGTATGAGGGGCCTGATGTGGTGTAGTAATTCCCTCACAGTTGGTGTATGAGGGGCCTCATGTGGTGTAGTAATTCCCTCACAGATGGTGTTATGAGGGGCATCACATGGCATAGTAATTCCCTCACAGATGGTGTTATGAGGGGCATCACGTGGTGTAGTAATTCCCTCACAGATGGTGTTATGAGGAACTTCACATGATGCTGTAGCAACTCATTCACTACGTGGTGTCGTAGCATCATGGGGACACCACGTGGTCACAGGACTCACTCACTGAGGTGTGGTCCCAGGCCTTTCTATCGTGGAGTCTCAGGGGAATTATCACTGGGTACCTGGGACCTCACTGTGTGAAGGTTAGCTTGGGTAAGACTCAACTGCTGAGTTGTTTTTCACTGACTTAAGCACTGTTCACCACTATTCAACACTGGTTCCATTCCTTTCCCAAATGAAATAGTAACTTCTGGCGAGAACTTGTTGATATTCCTGTGGGGAGGAGGGTTCAGGGGAGGGAGTTGGTATGGGCCAACATAATAGTTGACGTGGCTGCTGCTGAGCAGCGCCAGGTGCGTCTGACCCGTCTTGACCCGCCGGTGGTCAAGGATGAAGTGTGATGTGTGTGTGTGCGCTTGTGCGTATTACTCTTAGTTCTTCCCCCTCCCCCCCCCCTCCCGGCATATAAAAGGCTTTACACGAGGATATTTTTTACCAGAGACTAGATCATAGAAGACAGACTTAAATGTTTAATTTGCTTTGGAAACCTTTGTACATGTTAGTTGATTTTCCACTCATGCTCTATTGCCTGTGTATAAAAATGTCCATATCTAATGTTTTATATAGTACCACAGATGCACTTGCCAATAGTTGAACAACCCTTCATTGCAATAGTATCCTACTATGGTTGACCCATTAACTGCCGAGTATGAACACTTGGGATAAAGCACTTGTCTGGCCACCCTGTACGATAGCAGGAAATGGCTTGTATATTTGAAATAAAAGCTTTATGCTTATGAAATTCTGTACTGTATATGAAAGTTAGGTATTTGTAAGTAATATTGCTGCTTACATTTTCCTAAATAGCCTAAGGATGGTAATTATGTTTTTTGTGTGCATGTTACAGTTATTAGCACTAATGAAGAAAGGGGATAAGAACCGTCACGTCGGGATAACGAACATGAATGAACGAAGCTCTAGATCTCACACCATTTTTCGACTGGTAAGTGACCTACAGTACTTAATATTTTGTTAATAAAATACATTATGACCTTGTGAGTTGGAATGACATATGTCACATTCCCACTAAAGCTTGTGGGTTTGGACTTAGGGAACTTGGTGGCTGGGACTAACTTGAATATTAGCCATATCCCCTGGAGCAACCCTACAGTAAAGAGAAACTTTCATTACAGACTGGAAACTAATAAGTCATAAAGCTGTGTAACTATTGTGCAACCTTTTCCTCATTTGACTGACAGCCATAAGGCAGTCTTATAGTACCAACTTTACTGAAGCCACAACCTCTACCAGGATTTGTTTGTCCCCATAAACACTTCTCTTGTAAAGAAGCTAAGAGGTCAGCCTTATATTGTGTTGTGGGGGTTTTGGGATAAGCTACATATATTTTTTTCTTGGTATCTTATTCGCCACGTATCAGGGAATCGGCATCCCAGCTCATTACTATGGTGAAACAGGGAATATATACAAATGGCGACTGTGTTAAACATTCATTTGGCTCTTATCTACTGATTTGGCAATATAGTACCTTATTTTTTGTTGGTATTATTTTTATTTATTCCTCACATTTCCTGGGACTGTTTATTGTACTGTATATTATTTTAAGAAAACTATGACTACAGTTCCCTAAAATATGGTACTGTGTTGTTGGTGTTTTTTATGTCATTATTTATCATTTTTATGCATTTAGTACATTCACCATAGGCTGAAGTAGCATTCATATTTTTGCGTATTATTGAAAAATTAAACAATAACCACGGCCCCTAGTAAAGTGTTTGGTATCCATAAGGGTGATGGGAAGGTTAAGCCTAAGACCTTGTCAGTGAACTAAAAGTAATTGTACAGTGTTTTATGTACATTACCTTTTTAAATTAAATTTGATTAAAAAACATGTCATTCTTTCATAAAAATTGTCCTCGCTTTTTGTTTATAATGGCGGTCCTTTGGGAAAAATATGCTCTTCGGTGGACAACCCCTTATCCCGGACACCCCTTCCCCCCAATTAGTCCACCTTAGCGGGTGTTCGTAAGTTATGTTAGAATACCAAGATCTCTTTAAAACTTAGATACACAGTACAGAACATCAAACATGCTGACATATTCTAAATTGTATTGCAAGTACAGAATGAGAGATATTTAGTAACCAGTGATCATACAGTGGATATTGAAACTTGGTGTGCTGAACATTATGATAAGGTGAAGCCAGTGCTTTAAGTTACAAAATAATTGGTACAGTATTTATACTGCACTGTGTAATAGATAGTACAAAGGCATGCAAAAAAGATACAAATCAGTTTAGAAATGCACTGGTACTGAAGTTTAAAATTTTTAATATATCTCACTTACCCACTCTACAGTATGTAAACATAAATTTTATTCTTCTTTTCTGTAATGTAAACTGCTATAATGTCATCTCAAAAGGAATCTCTATTAATTCCATAGGTGAACTGAGGCTACACATTGTCTCCTGCCCTTCCTTACTTCAATAGCAAATATTTATTCATGTTAGCCCAGAAAAGGAGTTTCCTACTGCAGCAGTATTGCTTCTTATTGATAGGATTAGTTCAGCCAACTTAAAAATTTCCTTAAATCTACACCTGAGATTATTTTCTATCATGAACTCTACTATTCCTACACATGTTTGCTTGAGATAAGCTTGTTAGTGAACTGGGTGAAATCCAGAGTTGTAACTTGAAGTGTGTCTACAGTTTACTGCTTTTGTTGCAGATCCTGGAATCCCGTGAGCGGAGTGAAGGAGAAGGTAGTGATGGGGCAGTTACAGTTTCACATCTAAACCTTGTTGATCTGGCTGGCTCAGAGAATGCCTCACAGTCTGGTGCAACAGGAGAGAGGTTAAAGGAAGGAGGATTTATCAACAAATCTCTCTTTATGTTGGGTCGAGTCATCTCGCAGCTGAGTGATGGAGAGTTAGTTTCTCAGTTAAAGCATCATTCTCTATACCTGTATCCTCTGGGTCTTATGGTGTGCAATAACCCAAACTTTCTTCCATTTAATACATTTTTGCTTGGTATTAGCCGACTGTTTCATAAATAGATTCCGTGAATAATCATAAGAATCATTTACTCTGAATTTCAAAATCATTTAAAGATGGAATTTGAAAAAAAAAAGAAAATCAAAATGCAAAATTTGGAAGTAAAATAAAAAAGGACCATTGTACAGTAATCTTTCTGTTAGAAGGAGATTTGTTGATCCCTGGAAGTCTTCAATAACCCAGATTTTTATTTGTATTTATTTATTTTATTTTTTATTTTTATTTACGGGTATTTTTTGTTCAATCCAGAATGTGACGTCTAGCTTTATACCTCGGTATGTAAATGCCTAGCATTAACTCGCCAGGCCAACATACAGGCAATTAAAACATTTAATAATTACTTAAATACGTAATACAGGTACTCCTCGACTTACGACCTACTCGACTTACGTCCACCCGCACTTACGACCCGCCTCAGTCGTACCAAAATTTGGTCAAATTACGTATTTTTGAGTCCCAAATTCAGTACACAGACAAAATTTTCATCTGTAATTCACTTTAAAATGGCTGGCAAGCTTAAAAGTGAGAGTTTTGTGGTGCTGAGAAGAAAAAGAGACACCCATTTTAGATTTTCTGTGTTATTTAAGCATTTCCAAGTTACGACCATTTTGACTTACGACCTGGATGTCGGTCCCTAACCCCGTCGTAAGTCGGGGAGTACCTGTATTAGGAGGACACGTCGTTACCTGGCATTTAATTGCAATTCTCAAAACCCCCTCCCGCACCTGCCATCACATGCACTGCTACCGTTATCTTCTTGTCTGGCGAATCAGCTGTAAATGCGCACAAGGAAAGCTCCGCTAATTTGTGTTGTAATAGCTGAAATACTAAGTGCCACGAGGATTTTATATTTGGTATTTATACATCTTAGCACGGTGCTGAAGTCGAGTGACTGTTATTTTGTTTATGTCTCTCAGATGTTGTGTTTGGGGCAATTTTTTATACTGTCTGGTCAAGCTTGGCGACTAAGCACGCTCATCTATCTAGGCTGACATTAGATCTTTAGTGACTAATATCCTCTGCTTTCAAGTCACTTAGTGAATGATGTTTTTTGCCCTTCCGGGCTCGTCTTCACTGAAAGAATATATATATATATATATATGCTGATAACCACAAGGAAAGAAGAAAACACGAAGTTCCCAAGCGCTTTCGTGTAATTCACATCTTCAGGGGTGAGTACGTAGATATATATGTACAGCTCCTCCCCGACTTACGACGGGGTTAGGGACCCAAATCCAGGTCATAAGTCGAAATGGTCGTAAATCGAAAATGCTTAAATAATACATAGAAAATCTAAAATGGGTCTCTTTTTCTTCTCAGCACCACAAAACCTAAAATGGGTGTCTCTTTTTCTTCTCAACACCACAAAACTCTCACTTTTACGCTTGCCAGCCATTTTAAAGTGAATTACAAACGAAAATTTTCTCTGTGTAGCGACGTTGGGACTCGAAAATACAAAATTTGACAAAATTTTGGCACGACTGAGGTAGGCCGTAAGTGCGAGTGGTCGTAAGTCGAGTAGGTCGTAAGTTGGGGAGGAGCTGTATATATATACCGTATATAAAATTTTTCTTTGTCCCAATTATACACGTGCAAGTGTGAATACCATCCCCTCTCCATCTTCTCATGTTCGTTCACAAAACTTTTCAGGTTTCTGCCCTGGGTTTTCTAATTACTCTCAGCATGCAGGCCAGAGTTAAGTCTTCATAGCTCTATTTTATCCATGTCCTCAGTAGCGGGTTCATCCTTTCCAGGCGAACTTTAGCGAGGCTGCTAGTCTTAGTGATCCTGATGTGGGTCAGTGACCTGTGCCCGGGTGGGCTAATCCCCGTAAAAAAAAAAAATTGTATTCCTCATTCAGTAGCTGAACAAAGTGTTTTTCCCGGTATCCCCGTTTCCTCGTTATCAACAACCACATTACCACGGTCATTTCTCACACTGCTCACCAACAGCATCATTGTTTCTACACACTATACCTGACTTCTTACAACTGGCAATGTTCAGAAAATTTGGGATATTGAACCAAAATATCAAGCTCAAAGTATTTGTCTTTCATTCTTATCCAAAATTAAATGGAATAAATATTTCTGTATACAGTACTTAGTACTTCTCCATTCATAAGCCTTTTTTTTTCTTTTCCAGGCAATTTGTCAATTTCAGAGACTCAAAGTTGACAAGGATTTTACAGCTGTCCTTAGGGGGAAATGCCAAGACAGCCATATTCTGTACTGTTACACCAGCTACTGTTGAACAGACACATTCTACTCTCAGGTACTTAGCCTTTGCACAGTTTTAATTCTTCTTATATACTTTAATATAAAGGGACACAAAAGTTCTATTTGGTAATACGTATGTGGGATTCTTTCTTTAGAAAAAGGTGAAGTTTCCAATATTGTATTTTTTATACCCCCTGAGACTAATCTTGGGGTTACTATACTGTATTGAGCCTGTCTGTCTGTTTGTCCATCTTCAGTCAAGGTGATTCAGCTCTTAATATGAGTTCTTATTTACCAATTACAGTGAAACCTCCATAAAATGGACTTCCCTCTCCATAAAATCCATTAGAGGGGAAGTGTCACATCTAACAGACCCTCGACATAAAGGACTTTCATCTATATTTTTCATTAAATGGAAGTTTCACATCTAATGGACCCTCAGTAAAATTATATAGTGGATTTTCCACTCCATATAGTACAGGCATCCCCCGCGTTACGGAAGGGTTCCGTTCCCGGAAAATTGACCGTATCGCGAAATTCCGTAACGCGAAACCTATTTTCCCATTGACTTCCATTATAAAACTGGAGATGCGTTCCTAAGGAATTTTTTCGGCCCCAAAAAAGTAATTCAAGCACTTTTATTAATGAAAATAAACATTTATAAACACATACAATACAGTACATTAAATAATTTATGATATACCTTCTTAAAACACCAAATTAGGGGTTAATATTGCATAATATTGCATTATACACCTGTGTATGTTTATTTGAGTGCCCCGTCATAGGAGTCCGTTTTCTCTCACTTCAAGGCCACCTGAGTTGTCCGTTTTCTCTTAATCTTAAGAGTGCACCAGGGACTACTGTATTATTTTTTAGTAATGACACAGAATTTGATATTGCAACTGGGGTTGCAATTGTTGAGGCAACTTAGGTATGTCTGATTACAGTTGGAATATTCAAGATCCATTGTGAGTGATGTTTAAAGCTTCAACTGTCTTTATGGTTGGTAAAACTTTTCAAGTCTGTCAGTCTGAATGGCATGTGTGAGGCCTTGTGTTTGTTAAAATTTACCCCAATTTCCGTAAGGGCGGATTTACGGGCCGTAACGCGAAATTATTGGTCATAATTTACAAATTCCGTAAGAGTGAAATTCCGTAACCCGGGCTTCCGTAATGCGAGGGATGCCTGTACAGGGTACTGTAGTCCGTTAAATGGGGGTTTTATTTATATACCACAAAACTTTACATGTAGTGTACTGTGCTTTTGAGGTCAGAAGTAAAGATCGCTTGTGCTAAAATTAAGGCCACTAGTTTAAAATTATAATTTTGTATGGTATTCCACTATGCCCTCATATTTACTTATTAATAAGGATGTAATTATTAGGTGTGACATATACTAAATGGTGGAGAATTTTTTTGTCTTAATGTGCAAAAAAGGAGAAAATGTAGAATTATGAAGGAGTGTCAGCAGAGAACAGATCAAGGCTTTCTTGTGCATTACAGACATGTTGAGAGAATGTACACTTCTGATATGTTCACCAGAAAGATGTACAGTACAGTATTACCCCGCTTTACGCGGTTTCACTTTCTGCGATTTCTCATTTACGCGGTACCTCGCCAGAACAAGACTTTCACTTTCCGCGGTGCATCTAGTCATATACGTGGGTGAAGTATAATTTTTTATTTAGCTCATAAAATTCATACAAATTACCCGGCCAGAATACAATTTACATTGCTGGAATTCTTACAATATGATGATCATTTTTAATATAAACATCATGGATTTTGCATTAGACATACAAATTTTAGATCTAATGTAATAATTTGGTTTACACAAAGCAAATATTTTATCATTTGTGCAAAATATATGAAGTTTACATTCAAAATATTCCCTAACCTGCAAGGAATTCAGAAATGTCAATTATATTATCCTAACTTTAGTCTGAGGTATTATTTATTACTAGAAATGTAAATATACTGTTTTCTCCCAAACATTTCTCTGATAGGGAGGGAAGGAGGGGGGTGGGGGCTTAAGGGTTAAAAAACAACAAAGTTAAGGTTGTTTGAACTTCAAAAAACTTTAAACGCATTTTTTCCGCTTTTTAAATTTGGCGCTTCACCCCCTTGTAATGCGGAGCGCCTCACATCTTTTACAGCAGTCTGAGTGGATGGATGCAGCTGTTTAGTTTTCCTTTATTCTGCTTTTCTTATGCAAGAAAGGTGATGTGTCAACCTAACAGGATGCTTTGGGGTTGTTTTAGCCAGGCTTACCATAGAGCCAGGTGTTATAATTACAGTAAGGCAAATTTTGCTCAATTTCTGAGGTACAAATTTGTGTAAGAGAAGGAAAGAAGTTATACAGTATTTATACCCTTTTGTTTTCTGGAAGCAAGGAGGGGATTGTTTAATGTATGTTAGCTAGCTCATAGGTATAACTGTATAAAGTTAAACTTTTATCTCCAGTCACCTATAGCTACTGAAGGTATCATTGAATACCTATATTTTTTACTTGTAAATTATGTCATTTCTTTGTATTTTTAAATCTCGATAAACCAATTACCTACTGTTGTGATCCCTGGGTGTATGAACGGGTATAAAAATTGGAGTTGTTGAGTGTAGGTGTTGCTCTTTTAGTGAGGAATATAGCCGAGCAATTACAGGTAACAGTGAAGGAAGTTGAGTGTATAGCAAGGATAAGTCAGTAGATGGTGGTCATAGTTAAGAACAAATAGACCTAAGTGTGTTGTGCATGTGGATTCAAGATGGAAAACAGTGAATAGGAATTGAAATTAGAAGGATGTTAGCGTGGAAGACTTAATGGGGTTTTACAAGGCATCATACATGGTGATTATAATTAGATTATTTTGCTGGCCATAGTTGTGATAGCTTTCATATAAGTTTCTGCATGTTGAGGGATGCTTTGTACTTGTTATGAGCTATTTTGCCATAAAGCAGGGAGATGCTTCTGGGATAATAGCAAGGTTTACTAGATTTTCTGATCATTATAATCTGGAAAGGTTTTTACCAAAGTATCTGTATTCCAGATTTGCCTCAAGTGCTAAATCTATCAAGAACAAGCCTGTGGTGAATGAGGTTTTGTCTGAAGCAGCTTTGCTGCAACGATATGCAAAGGAGATTAAAAATCTGAAGAAATCACTTGAAAAAGAACGCAATACTGACAGAGCCCAAGAAGTAGAACAGGTGAGCAAGATACAGTTTATTAGCAAGAGTTAGTTTCAGAAAATTATGGTCATCAGTCATTTATATATGTATCAATTAACCTGTAAACAAAAAGGTGTAATAATGGCAATGTTTGCTTGTAGACTGGTTCTTTTTCCATATAGCCATTAGAGCTTTTAAAACTAAATAAAGCGACAATGGTTTGAAAATCTGTGTTGGGATTAAGCAACTCGGTACATAAAAAAATAAAAAAATATAGGAATTGAAACTCCAGGTTGTAGAGCACCAACATTTAGCTGGTATCTCCAAATTGAATAAATTTGGCAATTAAATTATCCTTCACCTTTGTATTGGGTTCCTGAAAGACAACCACTAAGTAAGAGCGTAAGGTATGCATAAAACTTGTATAAGATTTGTGATCATTGTTGCTGAGCTTGACACGAGACACTCCACTCTGTTCATTTGACATAAACTGTAAAACTAACTCCACTTGGAACAACACCATCTAATTCCATCTCTTGCACAGTAATCAACTCTTGCTCTGACCTTGTGATTTCAGGTACAATACTTACATATTTAATGTCTATTGCTACTGAGCCCTAAGTGTTATTTTATCCACATGAAAGATTAAAACATGTTGCATATATTGGTTTTTTATAACAACCAAGATTTTATTTATCTATTTATTTATTTAGAATCATGGTTTGGTTTTTATATGCTAAATGTAAATGGAAGGAAATACAAATTTAACAATTGCTTATATGCTGTATTGTTATAAACTAATCAGCCAAAGAAAGAAAGTATTTTATGCCTTTATCACAGTAACCTACATAATTAAACACTAAAACCTTCACTTTTGTAATGTTCACTATTCATTGTTCTCACAATAAAATTACAATATTTGTTTTGTAATTGAAACAACGAACACAAGTTTAAGATAAATAACATCACTTTGCTTCCCCTACATGTGTTATTGTACTGTAGGAACTGTACTCTTTGTTCCAACACCCTGCAATATACTTAGAAAAAAGGCTGAAACTCTGTAAATAAATCCCATAAGCTACCTCCTTTTACCACTCTGTATATCTGATGCTCATAAGACTTCATCTCCTTTATTAGCACAAGCAGCCTCTCATCCAACTACCTGTATTCCCTCTTGTTTTACACACCAATTCTCCAAGATATTATGTGCATTTTTTACTTTCCAGGTGCGTGAAAAGCTTGATGAAGAAGCACGCAAAAACCAAGAGTTGCTGATGAAGGTGAATGAGTTGAAAGCAAAAATTGTGGTTTCCAGCCATCCTCGTAACTGTTCTCCATATAACACCGTGAGTATGAATTTTCATAGTATGCTTGAGTATGAATTGTAGAGATTAGTGCAGTGAGTTTGAGGAACTGCATGAATGAACATGATGTAAATCCCATTGTATTTGATCATTGTAACTGACTACAAGGGTAATGTATCTTTCTAACACAGCTGTGTTCCGTATTTCTAAACAAAAACTAATTCCAAAATAAAATTGTTTTTATTCAAGACAAATGAATTATTTGATGCTGATGGTGTCCGTTGATAAATCATTCTCTGATTTGCTCATTGATTTTAAGTGAACTGAACAGACCTTAATAATGGCTGACAAGTGTAAGAGTGGTGCTTGTGATACACCTGCATCAAAGAAAAGATGAAATTGGACATAATAAAATGTTTATAGAAGGGTGAATCCCCGACAAAATCAACCACATGTTTGGCTTCAATTGTTCAGTGAACGGGAAAATAAATCTATTTTGCTTTAATCATTGTATATTAAAATAGTAATGTTATCTATTATTATCATAACAAATTTACAATATTTCAGCTTAATCATGGGTTAATTTGGCTTTGATAGGCTCGTTTGGGAACCTAACCGCCATTTGCAACATGTTTATAAAAAATTTAGTTCCTAGGTTTTGAAATGCAATCTGCTTATGATTTGGGACCTTTCTGTACTAAGATAGGGTTATAACATAAAAGGTCACATATAACATTTACCAAGAGACACAGACATGTAAACTACACTGTTGACTCTGCCACTTGCCCCACAATTTGAGTTGAATAAGCTTTTATATTTTTACTAGGACAACCTAGATCACTATTAGTTAAGTCATACAGGTAATGAGAAACAAGCAGTGTGAAAGTAAAAATGGGTCTATAGGTATGTTGCACATCTCTATGGACAAACTGATGTGGTGATCTGACAGGAGCAATTATTGTCAAGTTTGGTGTGAGTTTTATCAAGATACTATATATCATGTTATGCTCTTAAGAACTCAATATTAGTACAGTACAGTAATACTGTATCTCCGTTAGCTGGAATCCCTCAAACCCAAACTCTCTGATAACCGGAATAAAAATTTTCTTGGAAAATCGTTCCCAAAGACGGAATTTTCTGGAAAACCAAGGCTTTGGAACCAATTTTCTGAGAGGCACATTTTCCAGAAAATTCTGAGAAAAATTCCCCATACCCGGAATTTTCCGGGTATGGGGGAGTTTTTTTCCAGGTATGAGAGATGAAAATCAGGCACATTTTCTGGAAATTCTGAGGTAAATTTTACGTTATCTGGAAAATTCCGGGGATGAGGGATTTTTTCCGGCTTTGAGAGAGTCGTCTCGTTACCCGAAAATCTCTCATTCCCGGAAGTGCTCTGCACCAATTGTTCCGGCTAATGGGGATATCACTGTATATTAAAACCTCTATACACAATAATTAGCTTTTTGTCCCACTCTGTGGTACTCTGGACCGCCCCTCAATTTACCAGATATATTTTAAAAGTCAGGAAAATCCAGCATCAATCCCAGATGGTTTGTGTGTTCGTACATGCAGTTGAGGCCTGCCTTCATACATATCATATGAGTGGGCCGCACCTCTACCTACTCTCATTACTCACTTACATTAGCAGTGTTATGCTCCCCCTCCCCCCTATATATTTCCTCTTTTTTTTCCCGATTCACTTTCTCTGGAATGGGGTCTGCCCCAATTAATGTGGTGTATCGAGGTACTAGTGTTTTATGTTGGAGACCTCATAAATCTGAAAATCTGTTTAGTTTGGTGATATGATAGGACAGACATGTAGTGATTACATCAGCAAACACATCTCTAACAACTCTACCAAACATTAAGGTTACACAAATGTAACAGGTATTACACAACTGATACCTCAGTACAGTCAGTTCTGCTATAATGCGTTAGTTGTGTTCTTGTAAAACATCGTGTTATAAAAATTCGCGTAATAGAAATAACAGGGCTTATGGAGAAAATAGGGTTAGGTGCAGATTACTACTCGAAATCGAAAAAAATTTGTAGTTAGCCTAACACAAAGGATAGCACAGTCTAAATAAATGTTACATTCATATCTAATAATGAAATCATACAGTAAATGCAACACTTACCTTGAAAAAATATGAATATAACTTGATGGGGGAGAAGGGTGATTTTGAGGTTGATAACATCGAGCTTCTCTTCAAGGGTTATAGCCTTTCTTTTACGATCATCACCGGGAATGCAATCACTAGAATGCTTCTTGGAGATATTCTTCTTTACCATATTCACAGTTAATACCACAAAAATGGAGAAATAGTAAGCAAAAATTGCGTTACAGCAAACAAGCATTCGCGTTATTCAAATATCGTTCCTCTATTCATAAATCGCGGTAGAGCCAATTCGCGTTGTCAAAACACGCGTTATAGCAGAACTCACTGTAGCTAATATTAGTATTTCTGAATATTAGTTAGTGTGAATTTTTCTCTGATTTTAATAATTCTGAATATTGTACACATTTTTTTAACTTATAGAAAAAAAAGAAAAAGATGAGACGAGAGACATGGGCAGCTCCAGCATTGGCTCGGGCCATGAGGGAAAGTATGGGACCTGCTTATATGCAACCCATTCCATTGACTCATCAGTTCCTGCTTCCCAGCCTTCCACCTTGGTCAGACCTCCCTAAGATCTCAGAAGGCTCATCATCAGATACTACAGATTCTACCATGGATTGTTCTGTTATATCAGATGGTATTTATATGATAGTACAGTACTGTAATATTTTGTGGTCTCTCTCTCTCTCTCTCTCAGTGTAGTCTGGTTTTATGCTGAAGGCCGGAAGAGGTAATTATTATTTACACCGTCAATTCCATCATGTACGCGGCAAGCAGCAGGGCGAGGTGCTTGTCATTGGCGTCAGACTCTCGCCGGTGATTGGGCCACGTATCCTTACCCCTTCTCTTATATGTTAATTATGTGTGTATACCATCATAAAATTAAGATGTTATTTATCCTACAATATGCTGTATTGTGTCGACGATAGCCATAAAAGGTGAGTCTGGTGGTCGACCCAGTCTCTATTTCAGTTAATCCTATAGATTCTGTTATTTTATTTACGCCTTTCGCTTTATATTTGTGCATGCCTAGCCCCCCTTTTTTCTCTCTGGTGTTTGTCATTCAATCTTTATCCTGCTTTAATGCTGGGAGTTCAGAATCTAAAGCAAATAAAGACACGCATTATCCTTTCATTTGTTCACGTCTTACTGCTTTAATTGGTCTCTTCTGTTGTGGAATACAGTTTCTACAACAAGGACAGAACATATCTAACTGGAGTATCCTTTCCACTTAGCATCACCTGTTAGTAACACATTGTTTGATCCTGTCCTGTCATTCATGCATGTTTCTGGTTCCAAATGTCCATTCCCCTCTCTTTTGGCGTAACTTTCACTCCATACTTATGTCCCCTTTTTTTTTTCTCCCTACCTCTGCTCTCAATCACCCTCCACTGAATTATCCATTCATTATTTTTATACACACACACATTTATGCTTGCTCATAAACACACACACAGAAAGTCTTTTATTTGTGTTGGGGATGTATTCTGGGATAACACGCATTAGGAGAAGCAACATACAGCGAGTCCTCACTTAACGTCGGGGTTACGTTCCTAAAAATGTGACGTTATACGAAGCAACGTTAAATGGATCAATTTTTCTCATAAGAAATAGATAAAATACGGGAGTTATGTTCCTGAGCCTCCCTTTGCCCCATGAAATACATTACATATACAGAAAATCGTTGCCATTTCTATAGAAAATAATGCATACATATACAACTACTAAGTTTGTATTGGTACTCACCGATGGGCGGAGGTGGTAGAGCGAGTGTGTGGTGGGGAGTGAAGCAGAGGAGGAGGATGGCGGGAGGGGAGGAGTTTGGTGGGAGCGGAGGAGGGGGGAGGAAGGTGGTGAGTCACTGAGACTGCGCCAAGCCGAGAGAGGGTGATGCACCGTAAAATGTAGTCTGACGACGCAAAACGACGTATCGGATCACCAGGACGTTAAACAAATTTTTTGGTCTCTAAAGTTTAGCGATGCAGTACCAAAACAACGTTAAGTGCGGACTTACCGTAAATCAAACTTGGGATGCCACAGACAGTGAACTTTACTTGCTCCCAGAAACTGGAGTTGCCAGATTGTTTAAAAAAACTGTCCAAATGGTATAGTTTGTACAGTAATGATTTCTGTGTAAATATGCTAGGCTAGATGCAAGCCTACACCTACACTGTTGCAGTAGTCTGATATCTTTGGAAACTTCCACTCAAATGGTCATTCATATCTTTGTTGATATTTTTGTCCATGAAGCATTGTAGTTCACAAGAAATATTAACATTACCTCCTCCATCAACATCCTTAAAAGTTACATTCCAATACAGCCATGTGTGTTACCTGTTTGACTTAACTCACTCTGTCCCTCTATAACTTACCATATTCTTCTTACACTCTTATTATAATTACTGTACTATATCTACCCCGTACCTTACTTTTTATATAAAATATGTGTTCAGTATTTTCCAACCAAAGACAAATATTTTGATACAATATAGTCGCCACATATTTTGTTTGGCTGGTGTAGAATGCGGGCTTAAAGAAGAGGGCAGTATCAGTCATGTCTGCTACTTACTTTGACAACTGAAGGTTTGTGCTGACTTGTTTTTCACCTAAATACAGGTGCTCCTCTACTTATGAATGCGTTACCTTCCTGTGGCTTGTTTGTAAGTCCAACTTTACTCTTGTAGATACCAAACATATTGTAAAAAATGAAAAAATAATGGATGTTGAGTACAGCTATACCCTACAATACAGCCCTAAACCCTGGCTCATTCTTCTCCTCTTAGGTAATGTTTGTTCTATCTGGAATTGTCTTCAAAATAATCCAGTCTAATCCTCATTAAACACCTGCCCTGGAAGGTAACCCCACTGATGATGTTGGTATCTCTGCAAGTTTGTAAGTCGAATGTTCTTAAGTAGAGGAGGACCTGTACCTCTAAAAGTTCTAAAACAAAAGTTTTGTGCTGTCATTTGACCTATGTAAGATGGTGTTTATAGGGACACAAGAACACCATTTGTATCAACTACAGTATTTAGCAGTTAATTATTATGCAGTAGAGTATTTGAAAAGATAACCAAACTTTCCATACTGTAAGCCACCACAATGACAACTCCACTATTTGGACAGCTATAGCTCACCCTCTGTCCCCCAGACAACTGAACTAGAAAATGAGACTACATTATAGAGAGAAAATTAAATCAATGAAGAACTAGTAAAAGGGTTCAACTCTGTCCTGAGGGCCCTTTTATTACCCATTTTCTTCTATTTTCTCTTTATTTAATTGTATTTACTGTATATAAAGTTGAAGTTTTTAACTGACCAGCCAGATATCTGATAGTGAAAATATTCACTCTGGTGCACCCCTAAATCAAACCCTATTTTACCTCAGACTTCAGGACAAAAATTTGGAATTCATTCCTGGTTGAAATTTGCTGAAAAATATTAAATAATCATGTTTAAAAAATTCAAGTTTAAATAAATTATGTATGTTAATACTTGTACTGTACTGTACTCACTAAAATAGTGACTGCTTTTTTCCTAATTAACCTTAAAACTGTTTTAGTGTGTTTTGACCCTGATCTTTGACCCAAACGTTGACGCTCGCTCCGTATTATCTGTCATCTTATTTCTCTGCCTTGTATTATTCTAGCAGCACATAATGGGGGTCACATTATTGGCTTTATGAATGTATTATGAAAAGATAAGAATAACATGTGCAAAAAAAATTCATCTTATTCTTCAAAACAGATCTAATCAGGTTGACTGGTGGCAGTTCTGTCTGCTGAAGCTTTGATGCTCAGAACACTCGGTGTATTGTGTCTGTAGGTGCTTAGAAATTACAAACTTATGAGGATTTCATTAACTTTAAAAATGGGATAAATCAAAACCTCATTAACTTAGAATTTCCGACTTGTGAATCCCTAACTGAATGGGAATACCTGTACTTTACTGTACTAGAATATGAAAACTAAAATATTAATTATTGAGACCTCACTAAAAACTGACTCAACTACTTTTATTTTGACATTATTTCTGGCATGAGCATTGAAGTAATAGGCTGAATTTTTCCACAGGTTTTGGAAGAAATGAATCAAGTTTCTCTATGGACTTGGAATTGGCTGAGCAGTCAAAACTAGGGAAGTTAGACTTAAGTCCTTATTCCCCTCCGCCTCTGAAGCATCGCAAAATGGTACAATTTGAGTTAACTCCAGAGCTGTCTCCTGATGATGAATGTCAAGCTGAAGAAAGGTATTTGTCAAAAACTAAGTAAGTTTGCTACAGATGCACCAGTATTAATATGTTACATGTGTTTATCAAATAGAATTAGATATTCTCTAATTTGTATTTATATTAAATTGAAATCAACATTGGATTTCTTTTCTTTCTCTGCTAGATAACACATTATTCTGGTAAATCTTTTTCTGATATTTGTGATTGAATTTGTTTAAGTGCTTGCTTGAATTCCAGCTATCTTACATCCAAACCATCAACACCGAGAAGAGAGACAGAATCCCCAGTTCCGTCTCATCATTTGGTAATACCAGGGACCCCGGGGACCCCAGCTCACATCCTCAGGGAAAGAAACCGGAAGATGCAAGAAAAGTTGAAGGAACAGGAGGATTGGTTGAAGGAGTGCCAAGAAGAATTTACTGATTTACAAGAATACCAGAAGCATGAGATTATACTAATGGAGGAAAGCTTTGCCTCCAAGATTGCTGATGGATCAGTTGACAACACCACGGTGAGTTAACCCCTATGTGGCTTCCATATAGTAAACCTAGATACCTCCTCCTGGTTACCAAAAACTTAATTTCTGATTTTTGCTGGAAAGGTTAGATAATGATGTTTAAAGTCATGTGAAATGGTTATAAAGTGGCAACTCAAGTCTCGTGTTGGCCGAATCATAGGAATTGTTGTATAGCGTCTCCATTTCCATGGGAACCAGCCCCTGTGCCACAGTGCCACGATCTCTGCATGACCTGGGAAACATATCACTCGGAATTTATTTTATACCACTTTATTTTGTTATTTCCACTTTTTTTTATACTAGACTTCTGATTATATAATACTGAATAGGTAGGTGACTAGAAAAATGTAATAAAATTTATTGATTTTTTTTTTTACTTACTTGTGGCATTTCTAAATGGAATGCAACTTAGAGAGAGGCCTGTGCTCCACAGCAAACATGCTGGGGTGAGTTTCAGACATCAACAGAATCACTGTCCATTCCTAATGGCTCCTCAGTATCATAAGGAGCATCCTCAACAAAGAGAATAGAGTTTTATTTCAGTATCTCTGATAGCACAACGTGACAACATCCTTAGAGTGGGACAGGCGAAGGTACAATTATATCTCTTGTTAGCCAGAATCCCACTTAACCGTAACTCTCTGATGGCTGGAATTGAAATTTTCCGAGGGGCACATTTTCTGGAAAAATTTTCCCAGTACCTGGAAAATTCCAGGGAAGGGGAATTTTTTTTTTCAGGTTTGAGAGATGATGTAATGGGCAACTTCTGGAACTAACGAGAAAATTTTTCCATTACCTGGAAAATTCTGGGGATGAGGGATTTTTTGGGGAGCTTTGAGAGAGTCGTCTCGTTACCTGGAAATCTCTCATTCCCGGAAGTGCTCTGCACCAATTGTTCCGGCTAACGGTGATATCACTGTACTGGCGTGTTGCCAAGAAACACAAGGCTTAGGCACACTATTGCCTGTGGGGGTGTATGCCAGACAACTCAAGATGTTTATTTATAGCTCTTGGGCCCATAGAGATTAACGGGAAATTGAAAAATTTCAAGGTCAATATACGCCCTAAACCTGGGTGTACCTTACCTTAATCTATGCCCCAAACCACGCACAGGTTAAAAAGGGCTGCTATCATGTAGAAGGTTGATTTTTGAATGCTATATTTCCAGCAAGAGTTTTTTATTGGTAATTATTTTTATTGAACATACATTGTACAACTTTTAAATATTGATGCTTCCTTCCAGTGCAGTTTCTCTGATGAATCCTTATACAGGATGAACCTCGATGTAATGGCACCGGATTTGCCAGTATCTCGCATTTATCGGCAAAATTTAGAGATCGTGCATTTGAAAGCCCTGGCTGTAATTTCCACTAGTTCCTCTACCTGCTTCTATGCTCCAGTGGCGCTGCGGTAGGTTTGTCTTGGCATTAAAGGTGAGCCGGTGCTGTGCTCGTGTGATGGCCTCTCTTTGTTAGTGACCCAAAGAAGAAATGATTTTCCCTGAACATTGTACAGAAGGTTGAAATATTACATAAAACAGATGTGAAGTGTCTGTTGGTTAACTTTGGCAAATCTATGATGTCGGTTCCTCAACATCTTATGATTTAAAGAAGCAGAAAGATAAACTACTCACTATGTGGACGGTGACACAAAGAAGGGAATGGAATATTCCCCCCCATACTTCGATGCCGTTAAATCGAGGTTCAACCTATATATCATACTGTACAGTCATCCCTCAATTTACACACTGGTAGTGAAATACTTGCAGTAAAACACTGTACATTAATAATTTTATACCTGTACTTGAAGAAAAACCAGATGAGATTTGTAACAGTGAATAATATGAAATGATAAGCCAGCATCTATAATAATAATAATGATAATGTAGTAATACAATGACTCCCATTATATGATTGGAGATACATTCTTTATGAAAAAAAATGATCACATCACACACTCAACCCCATGAGTAACTGCATCATCCTAAATTCCTGTTTGTTTATGTGGCATGAACACCACTGGTCACAGGCTGGGTGTGCTCTGTACTCTTTATTTAATATTGATTTTGGTTTCATGATGCTCCCAACCAAACAACAAAGTGATAGAACTGAGTTTAACAGTGCTAAAAGGAAACAAAGTGATAAGTGTGAGCATAAAGGTGAAAATTCTGCAAAAAGTGTACCAAGAACAGACTTTGAGAATATTGAAAATTCCACAGCACTGTGATTTCACTGTGGGCTGGCTTCAAATAGAGTGTTTAAAAAGTGGTGCCTTAAATCCACTAGATAAAAATATCTGAACACAAGGAGGTGCAAAGCCACCAGCCAGCATCTCAACTCATTCAGTTGACAATCCATTCAATCTCCCTCATGTGTTGCCAGCAGTAGCCACAGTTCTAATCATTTCTTCATTTTCAAATTCCATACTTTCATCTACAACTTTACAAAAAAAAATCACAATAAGAATATGAAATTTAAGAATTCAGAATAATTTTCCTTTATTTAGTTTTCTTATTACAGTACATGAGAGTCGGTGTAGTGTGAGTGAGGATGAGGAGTAAGTTATATGTTGATATGATGAAGACATTGAATCATTATTTGTTGACATACTAACATTAAAAGTGTTAGAGAGTAATTAAATAAGTGAGTACACTGGGAAGATAAAAAAAGCATTATTTTATTATATTTTCACCATTCCTCATTTGAAAAATGTCATAAATTTGAGATTTTGCTTGTAAATCAGTGTGGGTTTGTTTTCTTTCTCTCTTCATAATTGGGAATTTTCTTAATTCAATTCCTCATAAATTGGTGACTGCACATACAGTATTTGAGTTGGGTTGTTGCCCCATCAAAGAATGCATGTAACTCACAGGCAGCTAATTAATTATCACACATGAACATGAAAAAAAAAAATAATTGCTAACTCTCATCCCATGGATTGACTGATCACAAAATACTACACACTTAATAAATACTGTAGTGTACCTTAATTTACTACATACTGTACTTGTCAGATGCTGCTATATGTTACCCATCATCACTACAGTATTATCATAACTAACCCCTACCTAGGTAATGTTTACAAGAAGGTAAGAGAAAAATATTTACTGACAACACTACATGAACAAACCAGACCTACAGTACCTAAACCAAACCTAACAGCTTTTACTTTTCTTTCAATGTTTCAGCTGCAGGAACAAAGAAAAGAGATAATGTTTCTGAAACATTCTCTCCGAGACTCTGAAGCTCTGTTACTGGATGCCAACCGAGCACTATCACAAAGGTCACAAGAGATCCAATTGTTGCAAAAACAGAGGGAAAAATTGACTCAAGAAAATTTGAGATGTTTTCGTTTTGAAGATGAACTCACAAAATTGTGTGAAGAGCACAAACAAATGAAGAAAATTATGGTAGGTTGATAGATCTAAGGTAACACTTACCAGCTTTGTACAGTTGTATGTGACTCATGATAAAAGGCATAATAGGGACCAAAGGAGATATGATAAGGCTGCCTGGAGGTGTGAAGCATTATATGCACATAAGATAAAGAAGTAGGGTAGGTCAAGGAGAGAATACTTTGTAATATCCCCTTTAAGAGGGTACCACAAGTAATAAGATATATATATATATATATATATTTTATATATATATTTATATATATATATATATATATATATATATATATATATATATATATATATATATATATATATATAATCACACAGGGAAAAGGGAAACAATGGAGCACCTTAGCTTTCGTCTTTATTCAAGACATCTTCAGAGGCTTTAGTACACAGGGTGACCTTACAGAACATGAGGTCAGGTCATAAACATGACATCCACTAATCCGCACAACACCACCACCACACATGCAAAGGAGCTTAAGAGAAAGGGCAACGTGACTTGTCAAGTAAAGTCAGGTAAAAAATATGGGACCCACTAATCATCTGTCCTACATCTAACTCCAATGCTTTAAAAACATTTTTAACCTTGGGCCACTGACAAATGAATTTGTGTAACATATCAGTTTTGTACTGACCACCACTGAGGTTTATAGAATTCAATTCCCTAATCAAACTTGCTTCAACCAGAAGTCTTTCTGTGACACATGATGATTTGTACACTTCTGAGCTGTTTTCTCAATCCATGGGATGATTATTGTTCCTAATATGAACGAACAGTGCACTGCTTTCAGATGCTACATGAAATTCAGTAAACACTTCCATTTACATTCAAGGTTGGGGTATTCTTGATTAATATATTGGTAATAGTAGTCATACTTAAAAACAACATTAATATTTAATAATTTATGGTACTGAACTAACGGGATAAATTCATTGCGATAAGACAGTCAAAATATTCTTAAATGTAGGAATTTTTCTGGTTTGAGTAGAATGAAAAGATTTTTTTAGCTCTTTTAAAACAATGATCAACAAAAAATGAAGGGTACCCAAGTTTTTGTGCAATGGACTGAATGTGTTTCACTTCTTCATCAATAAATTCAGCGTCACACATACGCAAACATCTCAAAAACATAGCAGAAAAAACTGACATTTTGGTAGATTCCAGGTGACTTGATAAAAAATTTATGAAACTGTCTATCTGTATAGGCTTTCTGTACACCTTAAAATTATAGTTATGACTATTTCTAATGATAAGCATATCAAGAAATGGAAGGGATCCATTTATTTCTCTCTCAATTTTCAATGTAATACTAGAGACAAGATCATTAAGCTTGTCTAAAAATTCCAGTGGGTCACTGTTTCTAGGACAAAGAACATCATCTACATATCTATACCATGGAGGAATAAAGTACCCTATATTGGGTAGTAATCTAGCCTCAATAAACTCCATATAAATACAGGCTAATGGAGCAGAAAGACAATTACCATGCTCATGCCAAATAGTTGCTTGTAAAACTTCCCATTTGCTCTAAACACATTGTCAGTAGCGCATAACTCTATCAATTTGAGAAAAGTATCATGTTCAATAGTCAAATCTAACAGTTGCAATTTCAAACATTGAAGGGTACCCAAGTTTTTGTGCAATGGACTGAATGTGTTTCAGTTCTTCATCAATAAATTCAGCTTCACAAATACGCAAACATCTCAGAAACATAGCAGATTAGTGGAGGTCATGTTTATGACCTGACCTCATGTTCTGTAAGGTCACCCTGTGTACTTAAGCCTCTCTCGGTCCACGTAATTCAGTTGCCTCTGAAGATGTCTTGAATAAAGACGAAAGCTAAGGTGCTCCATTGTTTCCCTTTTCCCTGTGTGATTTTATGAAGATTTATCTTACCCACATTTTTGTTGTGGATCTACATGAAATATATAAATAAATAAGAAAATCTACTTCATCTAAACATAATGATGATTTTTTTTGACATTCAACAGGAGGATAAGGACAGTAGACTCTTGCAGCTGGAGAATGAACGTCATGATTTTGACATTATGATGGAATTAGCTTTGAAGAAACAGGAACAAAAAGAAAAGGATTTAAGAAGAAGCTTAGATGTAAGTACAGTAAATCCTGAGTAACTCGGCACATATAGGGCTCTGGCCTTGCCGAGTTATCCCAAATTCCGACTTATCGAGGCACTTCCCCCTCCTACAAAAAAAAAAAAAAAAAAAATTATCAACCCATATATGTGTACGTGTAATTACTAAATGTAAAAAAGTAACAATTACCAGCACTGTACGTGAAGAATGAAGCATCATGGTAGGTGACACAGGTATGGTAGGTGACAGAGGCATGCTAGATGATGCAGGTGGCCAGATATGCTGAGGTATTCCCAGTACAGCTCCTCCCTTATTTACGACGGGGTTAGGGACCCAAATCCAGGTGATAAATCGAAATGGTCGTACAGGTAGTTCTGCTATAACGCGATAATTGTGTTCTTGTAAAATATCGTGTTATAGAAAATCGCGTAATAGAAATAACAGGGCTTATGGAGAAAATAGGGTAAGGTGCAGATTACTCGAAATCGAAAAAATTTAGTAGTTAGCCTAACACAAAGGATAGCACAGTCTAAATAAATGTTACATTCATATCTAATAATGAAATCATACAGTAAATTTAACACTTTACCTTGGAAAAATATGAATGTAACTTGATGGGGGAGAAGGGTGATTTTGAGGTTGATAACATCAAGCTTCTCTTCAAGTGTTATATCCTTTCTTTTACGATAATCACCGGGAATTCTATCATCAGAATGCTTTTTGGAGATATTCTTCTTTACCATATTCACAGTTAATACCACAAAATTGGAGAAATAGTAAGCAAAAATCGCGTTATAGCAAACAAGCGATCGCGTTATACAAATATTGTTCCGAATTCATAAATCGCGTTAGAGCAAATTCGCGTTATCAAAACACGCGTTATAGCAGAACTCACTGTAAGTCGAAAATGCTTAAATAATACATAGAAAATCTCAGCACCACAAAACTCATTTTTAAAGTTGCCAGCCATATATATATATATATATATATATATATATATATATATATATATATATATATATATATATATATATATATATATATATATATATATATATATATATATATATATATATATATATATATATATATATATATATATATATATATATATATATATATATATATATATATATATATATATATATATATATATATATATATATATATATATATATATATATATATATCATGTAAATCCACAATGAAAACGTGGATAAGATAAATCTTGATAAAATCACATGGGAAAATAGAAACAACGGAGTACCTTAGCTTTCGTCTTTATTCAAGACATCTTCAGAGGCAACTGGATTACATGGACAGAGAGAGGCTTAAATATACAGGGTGACCTTAAAAACATGAGGTCAGGTCATAATGATGACATCCACTAATCCCCACACCAACACACACGTAGAGGAGCTTAAGAGAAGGGTGGTGACGTGACTAGCCAGGTCAGGTCAGAAAAAAGGGACCCACAAAATAACTATCATACATCAAGATCAAAGGTTTTCAAAGCATTTTTAACCTTGGGCCACTGACAAATAAATTTATGTAACATATTATCAGTTTTGAACTGACCATCACTAAGGTTTATTGATTTTAATTCCTTAATCAAACTAGCTTCAACCAGAAGTCTTTCTGTGACACAAGATGATTTGAATACTTCTAAGCTTTTTTCCCAAGCAATGGGGTGATTATTATTCCTAACATGAACGAACAAGGCACTGCTTTCAGATGCAGTTCTGATATTATACTTATGTTGTTTGATTCTGAGCTGCAGTGTTTTTCCTGTCTGACCTACATAGTTACAATTACCGGGTACATTTGCTACATGGAATACAATAAACACTTCCATTTACATTCAAACTTGGGCTATTCCTTATTAACATATTGGTAATGGTTGAGTCATACTTGAAAACAACATTAATATTTAGAAGCTTGAGGGACCGAACTAACGGGACAAATTCATTACGATAGGGCAGAGTCAAAATATTCTTAAGTGTAGGAACTTGTCTGGTTTGAGAGGAATGAAAGGATTTTTTAGCCCTTTTAAAACAACGATCAACAAACACAGAAGGGTACCCGAGTTCATTAGCCGCTTGGGTGATCGGTCACGTCTCTGTTGTACACTGTTGGCAAGTACTGGGCTTGCACCGGCTCCTGAATGTATCTGAAGCTGCTCCAGTGCTTGTCAAGTCTGGTATTGAAAGAGCTCACACTCGGTGCCATCACCACACTGGCAGATTGTTCCAAGAGTTCACAACTCTCATTCCGAAAAAGTTGTCACTCACAGTTTTCCGGACTTGCGGCTTCTTTAACCTTGAGCTGTGTCCCCTTGTGGGGCGAGCGTCAGCCAGCTCCAGGTAAGGACATTCAACTGAGTAGTGCCCTCTGAGATGCTTGTACACCTCAATCAGATCTCCCCTTGCCCGTCTGTAGTATAAGCTAGGCAAGTTCAGGCTCTCCAATCTCTCCGGGTAGCTGAGGTGCCGTTGTGTAGGCACCAGTCTGGTGGCCCTCCTTTGGATATTTTAAATCAGCTTACAATCCCTGATATATCTCGGGACCAGACAGGAAAGCAGTACTCCAGATGGGGAAGCACTTCACTCTTGAAGGAATATTTTGACACTTCCAAAGACTTTTAGGTACTGCACTGGATGCAAAATACTTCACCTCGAGTTATGATATACAAGTGTGTACAGTACAGTACAGGGTGATCTAGAAGGTGGAGGAAGTAATTTCATAGTGGCAAATTGGAATAAATTGATCCAAAGTTTTGTTGCCTTTCATGTCAGGATTATTATATATTTACATATTTACAGGATGCTTGGAAGGAAATAGCAGCATATGAGGGAAGTAACACAGAGGAAGTGAAGAGACGTAGCCAGCGTGTGTCTCTGTTGGAAGAAGAAATATCCAAACTTCGTTCCACCACACAACTAGTTCAAGGGTAAATTTGGACTGTCTTATTGTTATATTCACCTTAATGGTCATAAGTGGATATATTATTCATACTGTAGTTTGTCTCTTTATGAGTCATGTTTGTACCCTGCTAATATATCAAGTTTCTGTTATCTTAGATTAGTTACTTGTGTAGAATTTCCTTGGTGGTTCCACAGAATCACTCATTAACTGAAAATCTCGTTAACTGAATCTATTATTTCAATGGGACATTGGGTAATTGGTTCCAACTCACAGAATTCCCTTAAAATTAAGTAAAAAGTACATACAAAGTACTGTATATCGGTAATAGAATTAACAAAACATTAAATATAAACAAAATAGAGTACTGTACAAAATACTGTACATTAATAAATAAAAAACACTAAAATATTTTAACACTTAATTTGAGGTGCGTATGTAGAATTCCCGGCGGCTTTGTTTACATAGCGGCAACGCAAACACATGATTGTAGACACAGTCGATGACGACATGCCATATTCTTTAGAGTGCATTGGTTCTAATGCCTTCTTCGTATTTTTTTAGTAATTTCTTGTTTCGCTTGAATTTAAATCCAATAATTTTAATGTAAAAATGCAAAGATTTTCGAGAGCACAACTTTCTTGATGTTTACTCCACTGGAAAACAAAGCTAAGCAGAGAACCAATTATTGACGGACAAGTCAATCAGCTGACGGGCGCACCAAAGCATGTTTCTCGTAAGGCTGTCGTTAATAGAATGTGTACTCGTTAATAGAACTGAAAGTCCTTACAGGAGGTACCGGTAACTTGTTAACTGAAATCTCGTAAATTGAACCGCTCATTAATGGAGGGTCCACTGTATATGTTAGCTCACATCCATGTTCTTGTTTATGTCCACACCCTTCATGCACTTGTCCTTTCAAACAAACTGAGAAATAATGTTTCAGACATATGATATGTATTAAAAAGAATTACACTACCATAGGGAAGAACAAGTGGAAGGTGACCTACAAAAGCAGTTGAAGGAAGCTCTTCTTAAACAAGAAGCCACCCAGCAAGAAATGGAAGAACAGAATATGAAATTTAAGCAGGTTAGTGATAATCATATCTTGATCATTAACCTACTTCTCCTTCATGGTTCTGAAGCACAACTCTACAACTACAGGGACACTATAATATTTTGGGCAGTGAATGAATGAATGATGGATTTGTGTGTCTGCTCTTGGTTCTGGCCATCTTACATCATTGCAGGAAAAGGCTTGTAAGAGAAAGATATTGATATTTGAAACACAGATTATTGTCATGTGTAAGATCTCACTTATTATAGTTATCTCATACTATTAACTAAAGGTTTGCTTTCTTTGGTTACTTCATACTTTCAGTCCCACTTATTGGTCTCTTGTATGTACAGTCGGCCCTTAACATACGCGGGGGTTAGGTAACAGATACCCGTGAATGTTAAAAATCCGTGTACTTTTGCTGCTGCCCCCCCTCCCCCCCAAAACCCTGGCCCCCCCATGTCCTTATTTACCGTATATACCTGTGTGTAGTTCGAGTTTTTAAGACCAAATTATTTGGCAAAAAATTGGATGTCGACCTCTAAACTGGTAATAGTTTCGTTAGGTTGAAAAATATTTACCAGTAACTACCAGTAAACAATGGAAACGACGCATCAACGCACCACCAGCTGTGAGTGTCGGTACAGTTGCCAGGGCAGATCTCTTGCGTCATCATAGCAAGCCCAAAGTAGCCAAATGCATGTAAGACCTTGCAAACAGCTGAATGTTCATTATGGTTTTAGGCATTTATATGGTGTGTTTACTAACAGTCACGTAGTGTTTGGTTATATTTTTATTCATATGCATAGGTTATATTACATTGCTAGAAGGGTTTTTTTGCTTAACAATGTAATGGATGTAATAGATTATAGGGCCATTGCCACCTTTCACTGAGGTCATTTGCATCACAGTTTATGGCCAGTGTTTGATCAAAGAACTTTGGTTGGTTATTGTAGCAGCCCTTGTATGTGAGGCAACCATCTCTTGAGGTAGTGAATGAGTTGTGGAATTATTTTTTTAAAACTGAGAACTTTATTCATTTTATTGTTGATAATGCTTTGATTTGGTGAACATGGTTACACTCAATGGACATGGAACCTTCAGGACAACGAGCCTTTGTTATAAGTCCTGGAAAGTAATTTTAATTAAATAGCAGCCTCTTTGTTTGGCAGTTACCAGGTCATCACTTCAGGATTACTGTACATGACTATGATGAACCTAGGGTTTATTCTCTTATGGCTTATGACTAGAACCAACTTGAGATCAGTTTAGTAGGAATGCTCAATTGTGGGGTGAAAGTTGAATATTCTGTAATATTTTGAGCCTACTGGTACCTCCCACCTCCTTTTTATGCAGGCTTTTGTGTAAAGAATGCTGTATCTCAATGTTGGATTTCAATAGAGGATTGGCCCTGAGATCTGTTTTATAACTAGTCAGGATTGAGCAGCTGATCAATTCTCCACCTTCATTCAGTTTGCTGGGGTTAATCCTTGCAATATTATTACAGTATGGCTGACGTCCAACATCAAAAATGAATGGACTGTTGTGTGTAACAGCAAAACTTTGACCTTCTCCATATTTAGGGTAATTTCTCATCAAGTTGTTATGCTTTGAACATAATCCATGGACTAGAGCCTAGACTTTGGCTAATTGGTACTAGATGAAAGAGTGATTTTTTAAAAGTTCATTATCTCCAGCTTCCAAAATTTTGCTGGACATCTGTACGTTTGCTTTCTGGCAGAATTTTTCATTCCAATAACTGCACCTTAATATATTTTAATATTTGGCAGTGGGAGAAAACTTAAAATGCTGATAAAACAATAAAGCTACTCTTTTGAAATATGCATCGGTACCGATCAACTCCTCTGGCCCATGGACTATCCAGGAGCCTGGTATGAAGGTGGGGAACATCCCAATCATAATTTGGAGCCCTGATGCTTGGGTTTCAACCTGTAAACTTGATGTACAGTATACCTGCTTCATTACTGGAGTTCAGGATTACTCCTCCATCATTAGTAATTTTCTTGTGAAACCTGCAGATGGCAGCGCTGGTGGAGAGAATGACAGGTATTGAGTCCCAAGTATCCAAAATGGAAGCTGTAGAGACTGAGCTGGCCAGTGTCCAAGATGAAGTGAAAACACTGAGGGCTGAGAACTCTCATCTGAGGAGCACTGCTAATGACCTACAGAAGCAGCTGGATGAAAAAGCATTTGATGGAGAGTCTAATCAAATTCAGGTCTTGCAAGAAGAGGTAAGTAAATATGTCCAGGGACTGTTAATATTTTCAGAGTTAGCTTATATATATATATATATATATATATATATATATATATATATATATATATATATATATATATATATATATATATATATATATATATATATATATATATATATATATATATATATATATATATATATATATATATATATATATATATATATATATATATATATATATATATATATATATATCCACAATAACCCAGATCAATCGGTGATAAGCATACACATGGTTGCAATTGAGGATATTGTGATAAGCCAGATCAGCGATTATCAAGTTTCATGATTATCAAGGATATGTGTGCGTGCATCCTGGAAATTAGATATCTAAACCTGTCACAAATGCAAATACAGTATGTAGTGAGATATTAATGATTGAAAAATGTTGAGCTATGCATGCAAGATTACTTTTCCCAAATTTTATACAGTGTCTGTGGATGATTATTAGTTGGTCATACTATTTTTCAGGTGCAGTCTCTTCGTGAAAAGTTGGAGGAGTCCGTTGATGGAAGTGTCTTCACTGGGAGAAACTCTCACTATGTTAGCAAAACCAGAGAAAACACATTAACTTCCTGGGAGATTTCCTGCAAACTTTCAGAAACTCTGCAAGCCTTGGAGGAGACTGTAATCACATCCTCTACACCAGGCAGAAATTCCTTTGTCTCTTTGGATGAAAACTTCTTACAGCCACAAGATCTGGAAACCATCAAGCAACAGCTCCTTTGGCTACAGGAGGCACTTGTTGCACAAGATCAGTGCCAGCTGCAACTACAACAGGAGTTGGAGAATTTAAAGGCAAAGGCAATGTCTGAACAATTATATCCACAGGTATGATATTCTGTACTACTATAGATGTTTAAGTGAAGGAAGGTATGAGCCCTTATGTAAACTATAGTATAATCTTGATTTAGCAGAATCTGATATAACGAGCTCTCGATTTAGCGGAAGGCATTTTCTCGTTATTTTTCTCTCGATATAGTGAACCAGTTCGCTAATTCGAGATGAATTCAGTTAATACGGAGACACCTCAGACATGTGATACATTAAAACCGACTTCAGCCTATGGTGAATATACTAAATGGATAAAAATTATGAATACTTATATAAGGCAATTACCTGAAAATCTGTGAAAATGGCAAGAAAATCACCCCAAACCCTTCTGCTCTGGGCCTGGGGACAAAGGTTCCCAGCGTTATGAAAGGTTGCACCATGTTTAGCTGCATCCTCACATGTTTGGTGCTTGGGTGGGAAGAGCGAGGTGACGTGCCAAGACACTTACACAGGACACACATTAAGAGCACTACTAAACTATTGTCTTATAACATTTGACTTTTAATTTCTATTTTAAAATAAATTTATACATGATAGCTCGATTTGGCTAGTTTTGCACTTGACAACTGATCAGTGAATAAACCAGGGCATATAGAGATGCATTAAGCATTTGAGATGTCAGGAAGCTTCACAACTGTAACCACAAAGCATAAATTATCACAATCTGTACTCAAATGTACTCAGTTAATTACTAAAAAATTTATATCTAGTGCAAAATATGAGATGTTTATACCCAAATTAATTGCTATCTTGCAAGAATTCCAGCAATACATAATATATTCTGCAAGGTCAAGTCCGGGACATTTTATAATAAAAAAAACCTGAACTCCCTGTCTTTTATAATTCTTCAGTCCCTGGCCCCTCAACTGATAACTACACACCCGGCTGTCAATACCTCCTCCCAGCCAGCAGGGGAGGCAGATAGCGGTGGGTGATAACAGTTAATGGGATGCAGGTGATTTTAGGCTTAAAGTTTTTGTCTTATAAAATATATATATATATATATATATATATATATATATATATATATATATATATATATATATATATATATATATATATATATATATATATATATATATATATCAGAAATGACACACACACGTGATACCACCACCATTTCTTGCTGATGGGAATATGCTTTAAGACATGTTTGAAGTAAACAGTATTTTGTTTGGTTATTTTTGGATATTGTAGATAAAAATTCAGCAATGATTATAGTATGTATGAACATAGAAGGATTTTATTGTCCCCTAAGTTTGAGCACAGAATTTTGTAAGGTTCATTGATCCTGTTCCATCATATTTAATTGTGACTGAAACAGAATTGATATATGTGTGATTACATTTTGCTTCAGTTCTTTCCCTTCATTTTCTGCACTCATCTTACACCAGTTGTCTGTATCATATCCCTCATTTCTTTCTAATTTCTGGCCCCATTGATCCACCCCGCACATAAAAGGGAGAAAGAATACAGAGAACAGAATGATTACATGTTGCAACTTTACTTTACTAAGTATTTTTTAATTTTGTTGCAGATGGTTTCGCAAGTGGAAGAAGAGTTAAATCTATGGAGAGTACAAGAATCTTTCTGTGGAGAATATTTTGTTTACTCCAAGACACTTCAAAATTCTGTACACAGTCACTCTGACCAGATACACCAAGTGCAAACTGGCAATGTATACAAAGCTGGCTCTTCCACAAGTATGGAGCAGACAGTGCAAAATGCTGATGAAATTCAGACTGGCATTAAACCTGAATGTGAAATAAAGGAAGAGCATAGACCCTTGAAAGATATACTATGTCAGGATACTGCTGTTAAGAGAGACACTTCATTTACTTCTCAACAGTCTGCTGAACCGATGTCTCCTGCAAAAGAGCTACACCAGGCATCCAAGAATGAGACTCTCCAAAGGGCAAATGAATCTCTGTGTGTTACTCCACTGCAAATAAATACACCTCTGTCACTAGCAGATGAGCTACGTTGGGCAGAAATGAACTCGACACTCTCCAATGAAACTTTTGAAACATGTTTACTTAATCTTGTACCAGATTCCTCCAAGCAGGAAGTCCAACAGTTGAAAGAACAATTAGAGATCCTAAGCCATGAAAATCAGGCACTCCAGGATAAAGTTAGGCAGCTCCAGGCCAGTTTGCAACAGACAAAAGAAAATATGGTCATTGCTGGACAAGAGGAAAACCTAAGAGATCAGAGCAAAAATACAATGGAAAAATCTCAGAATTTGGTAAACCAATTGGAAAAAGAACTTGAATCATTGAAAACTGAGAAGTCTGCATTGGAATTAAAAATCAAGACACTTAAAGAAGAGAATGATACATCAATATTGGGCGAAGAAATGCATTGTCTACGGTGGCAAGTTAATACCCTGAAGGAGGAAAAGGTTGATTTAGAGGAGGAATTAAAGCTGACCCAAGAGGATCTTGAGCAAATGACTAAAGAAAAACAACTCCAATTTACTGCCAATAAGCTCTCCTCAGAGGCAGATCTGCCATCCACATCAGTATTGATCACTTGTTCAAAATGTTCAGTTAACATTGATGAAAATGACTTGCAGAATGCCACTAAGGTGGTGGAACAAGATAAGAAAGTGAAAATCTCTTTAGAGGATGATTTTAGCTTAAAGGAGGAGGTTAGCAAGATTCAGCAATATGATGAGGCTGAAACAAGAAGAGCTGAACCTTTTTATGAGAAGGAAGAAATAAAACAACTGCAAGAGGAAACCCAGGAATTGAGTGAGCTGATTTTATCTCTTAGAGAGGAAAAGGACAAATATATTCTGACTTTACAAGAGATGAAGGAGAGTCTTCAGAGTAAAACAGAAGAGTGGGAAGAAGCAAGAGAGATTGCTTTATCTCTAAAATCAAAAATGAAATTATTAGATTATATGACTAAAGAAATGGAAAATGCTAAAGTGATAGTTTCTTCCATCAAAGGAGTATTGGGTAAGGACCTAGGAGGTGTAGGGAGCCAAGGAGAAACAATTGATATTGCTGACACTGAGGTTAAAGGTATGAAAGAAGTAGTTTTAGCATTGAAAAACTTAAAGAATGTAATTGAAGACAAGACAGCAGAGTTAGAAAATGCTAACAGTATAATTGCATCATACAAAGCAAAAAAAAATCTGAAGGAAATGTCTGAATCAGATGAGTTGAGAGAAATGCAAAAGAAATTGGAAAATAAAACAGAAGAGCTTGAAATTCTTAAGGGCCAAAAGGAGAAGTTGCTACTTGATTTTGAAGACCAACTAGCAAATGTTGTTGCAGAAAAGGACAATGAATTGGAATTGATAATAACAAACTTCACTGAGAAGGAAGAAACTTTTGAAAACAAAGAAAAGGAGCTACAGGAGATGGTCTCACAGATAAAAGAAATAAGAAAGACTTTGGTTAATAAAGATTTGGAAGTGCAGAACTTGAATAAGGAAAATATAGATTTCAAAAACATAGTAAAGGATTTGGAATTAAATTTGTCCAAAAAAGTTGATGAGTTGTCTGTTATGGAAGGAAAGTATTCAATTCTGCAAAAGGAGTTTGAACATCAGGAAATAGATTATGACAACAAAATACAAGAAATGAAAAAGTCTGTGTCTGGTAATAAGGAACAAATAATCACTCAGGCACAAAATGTAAAACATTTGCAGAGGTCTCTAGAGGAGCAGAAGAATTTACTATCAAGTTCAGAAGAAGAAAAGGAACTGTTGAAAAATAATTATGAGAAACAGTTAAGCGATTCGGCTCATGTTTCAAGGATAACAAGCAGTACTACCTGGTATAAAGATTCAGAATGCAGGATTATAGACCAGAAGCTGGATGAATTAGAGCAACTGAAAGATGAATATGCCATTAAAGTCAAGGAATGCCACCAATTCAGAGACTCGGTTGATAATCTTAAGATAATGTTAGCTAAGAAAGAAGAAGAATTGAAAGTCATGTCTTCAGACCACAATGAAGAACTGTCAACCTTATCTGAAAATATAAATGAGAAAATTGAAGAAATTAACAATTTTGAAAATATTGTAAAACGCAAGAATGATGAGGCAGTTAACTTGAAGTTAGCTATTGAAGCCAAGGATCACAAAATAAAGAAACTTGAAAGCGATATGAAAGAAGTGAAGGAGATACTGGATGGCAAAGAGAAAGACCTTGAGGAGTCCTTGTCAAATAGAGATGGGCAGATGTCAACTAAACTGCAAGGGCTTCAGGGGGAAATAGACCACTTGACAAGGCTTCATGAAGAAGTGTGTGCAGACAGGAGAAATATGGTTGATGTCATCAAGAATCATGAAGAAGAACTAGGAAAATTAACCAGTGACTGTAATGCACTGAAATGTAAGCTGGAGAGCCTGGAGGAAGATTACCAACATGTCAGTGAGAACCTTAAAACAAAAGATGCTGAAATTTCCCAAAAAGAGGATTCAATATCCATGCTTGAATCAGAATATCAGAAACTGCAAGAAGATATTGATCATCTTAGATCCAAGGAAAAAGAATTGTTAGATCAGCATGACTCAAGTAATCAGGAGATAGAAAAATTACTTGGGGTTGTTGAAAAATATGAAATTGAAATGTCAGAAAAGGATGAGCAATTAAATAAGATGACAACTGAAGTCGAAAGTAAGATGGCCAAGATCTTTGAGGTAGAGGAATCTATTAAGTTGCTACAGGAGGCCAACAAGGAGATGGTACTTAAGTGTGATAGTATGGAAGATGTTAAGAAGAAGTATATATCCTTAGAAGAAGAACTGTATATGCTCAGGAAAGACTCCAATGAGCTTAAGAGCCTGCCAGATAGTGTGACTGCTCTTGAGGCTATTGAAGGTGACATCCATGCAAAGATCAGAGAACATGAAGAACTTGACAGAAAGGAATCACAAGAACAGGAACTCAATATCAAATTACTTAAGAGTGAAGAAGAATGCAAAACTGTTAAAAACGAACTGAGTAAAATTGAAATGCAGTTACAGGAGAAAATTGAATTTGTAAATAAGATAACTGTTGAACATAACACAGTAAAATTGGCATTAGAAAATGTTGAAGCAGATTTGAGGAATGCAAAGTTGTCTCTAGAATCTACAGAAGCAGAACTACGCGAGAAAATTTCATCTTTAGAATCAGAAAATATGAAGCTAGAAGAAGAACTTTCGGCCAGTAAAACTAATGAAAAAGAAATTAATGCACAAGTGGACGCCAGTACTCAGCAGATAGAGAAATTAGTAATGCTAGTTGAAAAATATGAGACTGAAATGTCAGAAAAGGATGAGGTAATACAGAGTCAGACAACAAAATATGAGAGTGAGGTTTTGGTGAAAGGGGGGCAAGTGCAGGGCTTAATAACTCAGCTAGAAAGCAAAACATCTATGTTGAGTGAACTGGAGGAAACACTAGAGTACCTTCTGAGAACAAATGAGGAGATGACCAAGAAATGTGAAGATCTGGAAGAGTTAAGGAAGAAGTGCATGTCATTGGAGGAAAAATTAATGAATGTCAAGAATGACTTCAATGAGCGGGAGTCCATAACGGATAAGCTGGCTGCTGCCGAGAATAAAATTGTGGCACTACAGGACGACGTGAATTCAAGGAGTAACAAATACAGTGAAGAAATTGCAAGGCTCGTGTCAGAAAGAGAAGAACTCAACACCAAATTTATACAGACGGAAAAGGAGCTCAAGAGTTCCAAAGAAACACTTGAAAAGTTTGAACAACGTTGGCAAAAAACCTCTGTTGCCTTAGCCGAAAAGCAAGAGAAGTGCAACCAGTTAAATGATGAAATGGATGATCTGGTAGATTATTATAAGAAAGAGAGAGTTCTCAAGGCTGAGGCATATGATGAATTATCCCAAAGGTATGTAAACATTGAAACAGAACTCTCAACCACAAAATTAAAGCTTGGGGATTTATTCCAAAGTGGTTTGGCATCTAACAGTCATTTTGACATTGATAATACACTTCAAAAAGAGAGTGAACTTCAAAGCACCCTTGAATCTCTGCAGAAAGAGTTACTTGCCAAACAAGAAGAATTGTCCAGCAAGGAGCAAGAGTGTACTGAATTAAATGCTGAGATGGATGACATGATGAAGTATTATAAGCAGCAAGGCCAAATTTATGCTGAACAGTGTGACTCATACAGAGAAAAACTAAAGAAAGCCCAAAATGAGCTCATGGAAAATAAGAAAAAAAAATTGGATCTTTCCCAAGGAGCAGAAGCACACATGGGTGATTCCAGTATTAAAACATGTAGTAACCAGCCCTTGAAAATTTTTGAAAATGATGATGGAAGTTTAATAAAAGAAAAAGATAACTGGAAAGAAGTAGTTGTCTTAAGAACTAAAAATACAGAACTTGAACAGAGACTTAATGAGTACAGAGAGAGAAATGATGATCTCAATCAGAGCCGAGCAACCTTACAAGAAGAACTAAAAATAAGCAGTGATACCGTCAATTCCCTCCTGGAGAGATTAGGTGACCAAGAGAAATATCGAATGGCTTATCAGAAGGAAGAGGAGGCTCTAGGAAAGAAAATAATGGAATATAAATGTAGAATTGAGGCATTCAAACAATCGGCTGGCAACCAAAAGGCAAGCTTGGAAAAAATTGATGAACTGATCCAAAATGTCAAGTATTTGGAGTGTGAACTAGAAACCAGCAAGAAGAATTTTGAGGACCTAGCAGAAGAAAATAATACATGGAAAATTGAATACACCAGACTGTTTGAGGTAAGTGAGGAACTTAAAGCACAAATTGCACAGGGGAAGATTTTACTTGAAGAACAGAAAAAGGAACATAAAGAGAAGCTCATGGAAATGACCACTGGAGTTAATACAACATTAAATTGCCCGTCTTCGGATACTTCTGGGCTGAATCTCACCGGCAAAGGAAGGAAATCGAGGATAGCTACTTTAGAATTAGAGAAGGGTAATCTTAAAGACGTGTGCGTAGAGCTTACTGAAAAAGTTGAAAGCCTTGAATCTACATTAGAATCTCTCAGGCAGTCTCAGGGTATTGTGTCATCCGTTGAGGAGTTCCAGCATGAACTTACGTGGATGAGAGAGAAGATGAAGGCTGCAGAAAAAGAACGTGACCTCACCAGCACAAAGTATGACAGTTGGGAGAGAGACTTTGAAGCACTACAAATGGAGGTGGAAAGTCTCCGAGATCAAGAGAATACACAAGATGCGGCTGCCAAGACTGGCCAACTGAAGGAACTTGAAAGGTATAGGTTACATGATGGTTGTTAATATCTATATCTAGTATTTGTTCCTTGGATTGAGTGTTTCATATAAAAAAAAAGTATTTATGTGGAGTTTTTCTTGCACTGTTAGTTTCTATAATGCCCATAACCTTACTGCCTTGATACTTTTCACACTTTTATTTTATTTATTTATTTTTTTCCAATTTCCTGAGTTGTGGTGTACTATTTATTATGTAAGTGTCTGGTGAACAATAATTGGATAAGGGAATAAGTATTGATGTACAGTATTCACAGGTTGAAACAAGGAAATATTGTATCTAATGGCAAGTAAACTTTTTTGACCATACATTCTTAAAGCATTTAGTTCCTTAAGGTTAGGTATAAAACTAAATCATAACTATTGGTATTGAAACATTTTTGTATTGTTAGCTATTCTTATATTATTCAGGAATTGATGGTAATCTTCCCTCTGAGAAAATAACCAACTTTGTATATACCAGGTGATTAAAGGTGAACTTTCTTATTTTACACTTTTAACCAACGTGATCATACGCACAAAAGTGGTGTTTTGATTTAGTGTAAACCAAACTTTGGCTTTGCAATCAGACACCAGTATGTTTTCCACATGTGCACCATTCATAGCACATTTTGAAACTTTTCGGGGGATAAGGAGGCCACTGCTGCTGTGATGTGCTCTTTCAGCTGATAATATCCTGCACCTTTCTGGAGTACACATTGAACTCTACATATTCCCCCAAAGGAAAAGTTGAGCAGGGTAAGGGGAGCCAATCTTAGTGTTCAGGAAATTGGTCCGCCCCTACCCAGCCAGTGATTTGGTACCCAGGTGACCTCCAAAATCTGCGAAATGTTAAAAAATGTGTTTGTTTTTAAGAGTAAATCAATGCAGAGATTATGTACTACCACATAACATAGTCACAGTCAAAAGTAATCATCCACTCCACCACCTAACTCCTGAGCCATGCTGGGTCCTTTCTGCATGGTACCAGTAAGTCACATGGGGTGGAGAGGGGGAATGGAGGGCCCTTTGTTGGGAGGATGGTATGATGTAAGTTGCTCATCAGAGAGGGAGGGGATTGAAGAAAGCAGGGAAGTTCATGAAAGAAGGAAAGGAAGGATGGATGTATTTTTTTTCACTATATTATCTTGGGTTTAGAATGCTTGAAAGAGTAATGTGTCATCCATTTCTTTATAATTTTTTTCAGGTTTTTCTTCATGTTTTAAACAACGTTAATTAGATGTTTATAAGAACATTGATATGAGGAGAAATATTTATTTTCAGTGTGAAAATCACATTTAGTTTTAATATTTACCAACACAGGTCATACAGAATCTCAACAGCCCACCTAGTGTCCTCCTCCCATCAACACCTCCCCCACCCTCTTGTGACCTGTCGTGTAGAAAGCCCTTAGCTCGTGGGTACAGTAATAGTAGGGGTGGTTGATTACCTTTGACCACATCTGTACATTGCTCTTGTTTTTTTGTGTTGTATCTTCCCCTAGAGAGAGTTTTAAGTGTTCAGAATATTTTTAAATTGGGAAGATCACTTTCAATCACCTAGCATGTCTTCATCACTCCATTAGCACCTCTTGGTATAATATTCTTTTACCTTCCTTAACTGTTATGTACAACTAGGAACAACTATTTGATTGCTTCACAATTACTGTAATTAACAAAATGTTTTATTGACAGGAAATATGGAGAACTACAAGAAGAAAATGCTCACTTGAGACAACGAGCTACAAAAACCAAGACAATAAGCACTTCAGTTGGTGGTGAGTAAGACATGAATTTCTGAAGTAGAGAGACACTGTTCTCATATTTGTAAATACAGTACTGTATGATGAAGGATGCACTAGAAGTGAAGGAGAGGAAGATCTAGGGAACTGTCATGTGGTTGAATGACCAGAGTGCATGAGGTTGATTAATACAGTATTTGGGAATACAGGTAAACCTTGATAAATGAAGGGGTTAGGTTCCTGAAAAAACATTGCGAGGTAAATTATTATAAATAGAGAGCATTATAACATGGGGTTCAATGGGATACATTCCCAGCCAGTCCCTAAGCACACATGTGTCACTAACAAAACAATTTCTACAATACTACCATCAGTACAAAACAATTAAGCAACACTCACCACATCTTGAAGGATAAGTCTGGTCATCATCACATGTCCCCTTCAAGGCTAAGGGGACTCTTGTAGGTGGAGTGGAGACGTCACTCTGACTCCCACACAGACTCAGGGAGTCTCGTGCTGCTTAACAATGTTAAGCTTCACCTCAGAGACACAGTTGTCTCGGGAGCCTTGGTCTTCCCAAACATTTTCAAAGTTACACCGCTCACTTCACAGTCACAAAAACAGAGCGAACGATGATAACATAAACAATGATAGTGGCCGACATTGCTCACATTTTCAAAACACCAGTCACTAAAACATAAAATATCACATCACAGTCAACATAATAGAGTTCAGTCTAAATGTTAGTGCTGTCCTCTCACTGTATAAGAAAAAACAAAACACCGATGATAAGTACAATATACAATGCTGGCCCATAATTGTGGAGCCATGCGATCGCGGGTTTACGATTGACAAAGAACCAAACACGGCTGTAGCGTGCAGGTTGGGCGTGTGGGTAGGCTAACAAGTGAAGGTTGAGATGCATCATGCATAGGATGAAATATTGTTTCCTTTTAAAATGTCATTGACTTGACGTAAAAAAAAATATAATTTACTTTGCTGGAATCCTTGCGAGATAGCAATTAATTTGAGTATGTATATGCAACCCATAGTTTACAATAGGGACGACAAAAATCCAAACAATGGATGCTGATGGCTATTAGATGGATAACGTTAAAGCGAATATTTTGGTCTCGTATAGCGAGATGGTCTTAGTTTATGACTATCGTTAAAGCGAAATATTGCTGAACGGGATATTGTATATCGAGGTTTACCTGTATACAGTACTTGATACTAGGGTGTTAGTGAGACAGAAGGAACTGAGTGTTTTCATGTATCTGAGAATGAATGTGTCAGTAATAGGAATAATTTGGGAAGGAGGGTAATAGGTGCATTAAGAAATATAGGGAGAGCTGTGTGAGAAGAGTAGGTAAGTAGCACTGTATAAGTGTAAAGCATGGACTGTGGGTACAAGAGGAAGTAGCAAGGTAGAAATAGCAAATATTGTATGCTTGATAAAGTGTTTGGGGTGAGTAGGACATAGAAAATTTAGCTGAAAGGCGTATTAGACAAAGGCTGATGAGAGTTTTCAAAGGTTGTGTGGAAATATTGGTAATTTTTTTCTGTTGTTTTAAAGGTGATGAGGCATTAAATATGGAAGAACGACTAGCTGCCACAGAACGTGAAAATAATGAGTTGAGGTTCAGATTACGTGCCCTCAATGCTCCTGCTGAAAAGGAAGTGCAGAGACTAAAGGAAGAGCTCATCTTGGCTAATCAAAAGGTTAGTGTCATCATCATCATCATCATCATCATCTCTCTCTCTCTCTCTCTCTCTCTCTCTCTCTCTCTCTCAAGTGCTTTCGTGTAATTCACATCTTCAGGGGTGAGTACAGACTGAGGAGAAATACTTGACAAGGCTAATATATACAGAAGAGGAGTCAGATCAAGTCCCTAGGGGACAGCAGGTGTCCACAATGTTCAGGTCATAAGGCAGTGACCCTTACTACAGTTATCTTCTTAATAAAAAATTGACCGTGCCATCTCTAAGCACAGCAGCTGTCCGTAGTCAGGTCATAGGGTAAGATGACCCAACCTTCTCACCTGGTTACAAATCTTCTTAATCACAAAATTATCCAGTTTGTACATACCATTACTCAAATTCATGTTGACAGATTCGGGTAATCAAAGCTAGACGTCGCATTCTGGATTGAACAAAAAGCCCTTTTTTTTTTCTCTCTCTTTTTTTTTCCTTTTCTAAACAGTTTTTGTGTTATGGTCCAGAATGCGACGTCGCCATCCCACCCCTCAAGAGTTGACATTTGTTTACTGCTCGCTCTAGGGCAAGAGATAACGGTAGCAATGCGTGTGATGGAGGGTGCGGGAGGGGGTTTTGAGAATTGAATTAAATGCCAGGTAGCGACGTGTCCTCCTAATATTACATATTTAAGTAATTATTAGATGTTTTAATTGCCTGTATGTTGGCCTGTCGAGTTAATGCAAGGCATTTACATACCTAGGTATAAAGCTAGACGTCGCATTCTGGACTATATAAAAAACTTTTTTTTAGAAAAATACGGCTTTTCACACTGCTCGTCTAAACTATGGTAATACCTCCTGTATATTTTTGTATTTATTTTTTTCTGATTTTAGTTTTGTACATAGGTCTCTCATCATTTTTATCGGTTTTGAATTATAAAGCTTTTTTTTTTGCGGAAGGTAAATTTTGGTATAGTTACATTTTTATTGTATATCACCTGTATTTTTTAACTTTTTGTTTTCTAGGCTCTGATGATGGAAAATGATTTTCCAAAACGTTAGTGATTACAGAAACCCAACTTAGTCAAGATGTTTGTGTTTTGCCCTGGTTCTCCTCTTTCTTTTACCACACATCCATAATTTGAACTTATTTTCAGTTCCTTAGATATTAGTGCTACATACATCAACTAATACTGCCTCTTTGTTTCATCCAACTATCACTTTAAATTATAAACTTAAATTTTTCAGATAACTCACATGAAAAAGGAGCTTCGGCGTATACAAAATATAAAGTGTATGGATTCCACAATCTGTGAGATGAAGGCCTCACTTAACAAGAAAGGCTGTGATGGAGCACAGAGTAATGTTGACTCTAAGTTCAACTATGCAAGTGGAAGTGGTGTTATATTGGTGAGTAGTTGTTACCATTTTATGAATGATATTCCTTGGTTTTATATGAGATATAAAAAGTTTAATATACTGTACCTGTACTTTGATATTAGGCATAAAGTTGCTAGGGAAATATTTCAAGAATGTATTAGACACTAAACATTGTTTACAAAGAAGCACCTGCCATAATTTACTAACCAAGTGTACTGGTTGAAAAGTCTGGAACCCATGACACTGGTGGCTGTAACTAATTCTCATTTAGTTTATACCTTCCATCTTATACAAATATCTAAAATTAGACATTTGGATAAGACAGCTGCCACTCAGATCTTCGGCAATGAGTCGTACTGCCACTGTGCCACATTAGTATGTACGCTTCGCTACACTTATATGGCACATTTAGGAACACACATTTCTTAAATCATCTCTCAGTTTCAGTTACTTATTCAGGCCAAGTGGCTGCCTATCTGAAGCTCCTGTCAAGAGCTGTGTAACTTCCCAGATGTTTAGTGATGTTAAAGAATTGCTGTAGTCATACAATCTTGGCATTAGTACTGTATTTGTGAAAAATTTTGCTTTTGTTAATTTCTTATTGCAAGAGTTTAAGGTTTCCCAGATTTTTGGTATTTAGGCTTGACCAATATGACTCAGCATTGAAACAAAAGGGGCCTGATTTCACTGTGTATAACTCAGCCCATCATATGATAGCCCTTTTCATGCCAGATTATGGATATCTTGCCTAAGGTTTTATAATGGGATACCCTGGTTTAATCTGAAATGGGTTTTCAGGAAGTTCCATTCTGGATGTTGGGTATCCTACTTTGGGAATTCACATGTTACTATAGCAATAACACTCATTGTCTTTAGCCTTGAATAGTAACTGCAAAGGTCTTATTTTAAATACTGTACTTGGATACATAGGAGATTTATGAACTTAATGTGGATAAGTTCCAAACCACTCTCAAAAGTTATTGAATTTTGAACTGTAGACTCGGTAGGTGGTACAGTCTCACCCAAAAGTTGGTTAACTCTCCCAGCCAGCTATTGCTGCACTGCCTGCTTGCTTCAGATGTATGAACTTGAGTCTGTTACTTCAAACCTTTAGATTCATTCGTATTGGTTTCATGTTCTGGTTGGTACTGAGACAGTTTCAAACATCTGAAGCAGGCAATGCAACAATAGCTGGCTGGGAGAGTTAACCAACTTTTGGGTGAGACTGTACAATCCATGTTTGGTGGTAAAGTGCACAGGAATAATAATGCTCTACACTAAAACTTTAAAAACAGTTTGCTACATAAAAAAAAATAATTAGCATTAGTGACATGTAATTAGCAAATACAGGTAACCGTCATTTAGTGATAATTTGGTTTATTGATTTAGAATTTTTATCACCCTTGGTTAATTAATGATCTGCAATTATTCGGTTTAGCGATCTTCAACTCCCTGGGAAAAATTCAGGTGGGAAGTAAAAAAAAATGGGGATTCTGTGCTTCAAGTGGGCATCTCCACTGGGCGGGTGCTGTGGGTGTATATGGGCAGCCGTGATGAGAACATGACGAGCAGTAGCGTAAAGGTAGGGGTGGGTGAGTGGGAGGACGGTAGAGGAGGATTGGCGGTGTAGTGGCGAGGCACAGGTGGGAGGGAGGGAGGCAAGTGCATGTTGTGTGTGTGCGCCATGTTACCACCACCATCACTACCTTACCCGATAGCATATGTCAAGTGCCAACTCCTAAAAATTGCTTCGATGGACAATATCTACATCCATTAAGTCCTCATTTAACGTTGTCCCAGACAATGTTGTTTCGTTATAACGTTGCTACTCTTTAGATACCCATGATTCCGACAACATCCTAACCGATTCATTATAACATTGTCACCCAACACGGACTACTTTGTATGGCGCGCCACCCCCTCTCATATTGGCGCGCTATGCATTGTGGAGCTTCCCCAGTCTTTGTTGAGTTTCCACAGCGTACGTGCATGCTTAAGTGTTTTTGTAATAAATACTGTACTGTAACCGTTCAAAATGGCTTCCAAGTGCTCACCAAGTGTTAGTGTAGTGAAGAAGCAACGCAAGACCATTAGCCTTGCTACGAAAATGGAGGCTTTAAACCTTTTTGAGAAAGGTGAACGTGCTGTGGACGTGGTGTAGCGTTAGGCCTAACCCCCCACAACAGTGCGTACTATTCAGGTCTCACTGACTTGCCACCTTCCTCCTCTCCACTACCCCCTGCACACTCGTTCCACCTCTGCCTATCAGTGAGTACAATACAAAATGATTTCGTTTATTTATCATTTTATATGCATCGTATATATTTTCTATAAAAATTCCCTTGAATTTCTGTATATGTAATGTATTTTATGGGGCAAAGGGAGGCTGGGGAACGTAACTAGCGTATTTTATCTATATCTTATGGGGAAAATTGATTCCGTTAACAATGTGTCTTACAAGAACGTAACCGCGAAGTTAAGCGAGGACTTACTGTATTCGAGTACGTACAATAAATAGTCAAATAAATGTTTTCTATGCAGCAGAGGCCTCTCTCTGAGTCACAGTCCATTTAGAATTGCTAAATTTTTCTATTCACCTACCTATCCAGTATTATATAATCATAAGCCTCGTATAAAAAAGTGGAAATAACAAAATAACGTGGTGTAAAATAAATGCTGAGTTTGATATGTCTCCCGGCCCGGCCCACTCAGAGATCGTGGCAATGTTGGATTTTCAAGCCCGACACTAAACCTATTGGAAAGGGAGCCAATCTGAATTTTAGAAATTATTTTAGAAATTATTATCTAGCTTTTCTAGCAAAACACTCGATAATTTTTTGGTGATTGGAGGAGGGTACATAATTATCTAGATTTATTACGTATATGGAAACCACTTATTGTAGGGGTATGCTACCGGCGCACCATCTATGAACCCAAGTTGTTACTACACAAGTGTTTACCCTGCCTTTGAACATTGTGACCAGTGCTTTACTATATTGCTCTGTATATTATCAATAGATATGCATTGTTCCTATTGTGTACTAAAGTGATTGCTCCTGCCTCCCTCTCTACTCATGTTGGTTAACTGTGGACCAGGTAAGAACTGTTTACTGTATAGTATTCCCTTTTTGTTTGTGACCTTTTAATTTTTGCTGTATGAACGAATGTGTGTGCATGTAACACAGGACAAGAAAATTAAGAAAATTATGTATGTCTACCCAAAATTATGAGTTGAACAATAACATAACTCACAGCTCAGCCTCACCCTCTTTGAGTGCTACTGGGTGATGAGTCTGTCAGTCGGCGACTCGGCTACACAATTAAGTGCCATCTCCACTGATATTTTTCCTTGTTATCTCTTGCATAAGATATTATTTCTCGTTTCTGTTCGCTCAGTGATCAAATCACTTCGCGATCTGTTTTTCAGGAACGCATCCCGATCGCTGTGAATCAGTGTGGTTACTGAGATTCAATCTGTATACAGAACATCATGTACAAGTTGAGGACTGGGCAAGTACATGTGGTTAACCAATATGCCTAATGGGAACAGTAACAATAGGAGGGCAAAAGATCGGGAAATGGAAATCGGCTTTGATTTTAAGATTTTTTGTTTTAAACAGTTAGGAGACAATATGAACTGGGAGAAAGGTAATGTACCATCATGCTTCTGACCCTATTGTTTAGTAACTATTTGTGGTGGCGGATCACATGTGTTTATTTTCTGTACTATATTCATGACATTTACCTTGTAGGAGATTCAAGTACTGGAACTACAAAATCAACTTTACCACTTGGAAAAGGAAAAGAAGATGATTGAGAATGAGTGTAAAACTTTAGAGCAGCACTTGGACCATTACAAAGGTAAAGCTCAAGAATGGAAAGTAAATGCTCTGAAAGAAAATAAATTAGGGGAGAAGATAAGGAAGGAACTAAAACTACTGCTCACTGAAAACACCCAATATAAAACTAAAGTGGAAGAGATGCGCAGCCGTATAGAACGTCAGCAGTTTGAGCTGGGACACCAGAGAGAAATTGTTGAAAAATTGGAGAAAGAAAAACAAAAACACACTCAGAAGCTTCAAACTAACTCTTCCAAAACTGTGGTGGGATCTCGTACACAACACACTCATCCATCCCCTAAAAAGGTATTATTGTATTTTGCTTGGTAATTCGTTTTGATGGTGATTTATTTTTTTAATCTGATTTGTCACTTACAGTTAACCCTGGATAACTCGGCACATATAGGGCTCTGGCCTTGCCGAGTTATCCCAAATTCCGACTTATCGAGGCACTTCCCCCTCCTACAAAAATACAACAATAGAAAATTATCAACCCATATATGTGTACGCGTAATTACTAAATGTAAAAAAGTAACAATTACCAGCACTGTACGTGAAGAATGAAACATCATGGTAGGTGACACAGAGGTATGGTAGGTGACACAGAGGCATGGTAGGTGACACAGAGGCATGGTAGGTGACATAGAGGCATGGTAGGTGACATAGAGGTATGGTAGGTGACACAGGTATGATAGGTGACACAGGTATGGCAGGTGACACAGGTATGGCAGGTGACACAGGTATGGTAGGTGACACAGGTATGGTAGGTGACACAGTTATGGTAGGTGACACAGGCATGGTAGGTGACACAGGCATGGGAAGTGACACAGAGGGCATGGTGGGTGTGACAGGGGGCATGGCACAGGGCATGGTGTGAGGACACAGAGGCATGGTGGGTGACACAGGGCATGAGTGGGTGACACACAGGCATGGTGGGTGACAGGGGCATGGTGGGTGACACAGGCATGGGGGTGACACTGGCATGACATGGTGAGGGGCATGGTGGGTGACACAGGGCATGGTGGGTGACACAGGGCATGGTGGGTGACACAGAGGCATGGTGGGTGACAGAGGCATGGTAGGTGACACAGGGCATGGGAGGGTGACACAGAGGTGGTGGGTGACACTGGGTGACATAGAGGCTGGGTAGGTGACACAGAGGCATGGTAGGTGACACAGAGGCATGGTAGGTGACATAGAGGCTGGGTAGGTGACACAAAGGCAGGATAGGTGACATAGAGGCAGGGTAGGTGACATAGAGGCAGGGTAGGTGATGCAGGTGGCCAGATATGCTGAGATTTTCCCGGATAATTTTATGTGTGTATCTGGGCATTTCCCAAGTTATATCAATACATTCCGAGCCATATCCATGTCGAGTTATCGAGGGTTTACTGTACCTTTTCTTTCAGAATGACAAATGATAATGAGGTTAAGTAATTGTATCTAATCTTTCACTGACCCACCAAAAAATTGCATTCATTACAGTCACCGACAAAATTCTCTGGACACGTCTGGTAGCTTTTGGCAACTAAATTCATTATTTTGACATTATTGGTTGATTTATTATATGTATAATATCAACCATTGTTAAAATAATCGATGACTTGGTACTGACTAGTCACGAAGGTCTTTACAGAACACTAGACATATTGAGAGCATTTTGTTTGCGACTGTACATCTCTTCTTCTTATGGAAGATGTCAAGGTGCTGTCTTGCTTATTTCTATGAACTGAATTTTAGGGCTGATACCTTGTCTATTAACAGAGTTATGTCTTCTTAATGGAAATCTGATCTAGCCTCTTTCTCTTGGATTCTTTCCTTGGGAGACTGTCCAAGAGTGATTGTTTGCAAAGGTGGGTAACTCACCAAACTTCCTGTATTCATTTCACTTATTCCACATTGGGATTAGGTTGGGATACTTGTGAAAAAAGCCATTTTTTTTTCTTAAAAACAGTTTTTGTGATATAGTCCAGAATATTACGTCTAGCTTTATACCAAGGTATGTAAATGCCTAGCGTTAACTCGCCAGGCCAACATACAGGCAATTAAAATATCTAATAATTACTTAAATATGTAATATAAGGAGGACACTTCGCTACCTGGCATTTAATTTCAATTCTCAGAACCCCCTCCTGCACCCTCCATCACACATTGCTATCGTCATCACTTGCCCAAGAGCGAGCAGTAAACAAATGTCAACTGTCGAGGGGTGGAGATGGGTGGGATGTCGACATCGTATTCTGTACTATATCACAAAAACTGTTTTTAGAAAAAACGGCATTTGTGCAATCCAGAATGCGATGTCTAACTTTGATTACCCGAGTAGAAGGTGGAGAGGGAGGTGACATGGCATACAAGACTCTGCTAGCTTAGGTCCAGATTATAAATATAAACTTTTTGGATTATTTTCTTATATTAGGAACATTTACCAGAAGGTAAATTGTTAATTTACATATCCCAATTAGGATACCCACTTAATTCACCTGAGGAAGATTAACTAGGTGGGGGAGGGGACCCCAGCACCACCAAATGTGAAGCGTCTTTCAGAGATAGATGAAGATATTTGTTTTGAAAGGTTTTTGAAGATCTCCAAAAGCCCACTTCTTTGATCTGACTGAGACTCGTATGCTGCAGAAAGGCCACAGACCCTGCATATTTCCTGGTGTCATGTGCCAAAAATATTTGCCAGGGTCTGCCTGACTCACTAACTGAAAAAAACTATTTTGTCATTTGACTAGGAGACAATTTCGTACCATCCTGTGATGAGAATACATAGGGGCCTCGATTAGGGAATTTGGTTAATCATTCTTGAAGAATCTTAACTGGGCACAATATATGAGGAAACCTTGTCTCATCCATTAGCTGTTTTATCTTAATAGGTTGAGCTTGAAAATCCTTCTTTTAATTTTTTCTTAGAATCTCCGTAGGAAAAAGGGCCACATCTTCCTCAGAAAATACCAATAATGATGGATTATTGGAAATTGAAATCAGCTCACTGATTCTCATATCTGTTGCTATTGCTAGAAGGAAGGCTGCCTTCTGAAGCAATCTGTCCCGGTTCAGATTTATATTGTAATTAGGCCCCATAAGAAATTTAGTAACTTTATCTAGAGACCAAGGTGGGATTCTCTTAGGCCGAGGGGATCTCTGAATGAAAAAGGACGTTCTGAGCATTTAATAAATTCTTGGGTTCAAAGTACAATAATATTAAATCCCCACGCCAGAGGGTCAACCAATGCTGATTTATAAGATGCAATTGTAGATCCTTGAAGGTTTTTAACTCTGAACAGAAAATCAAAAAATTCTAACACCACTGTTTCCGACAATGTGATTGGAGTTGTTAACCTGATAAATTATTGAAAAAGTTTCCAAGCTTTCTTGAATTGCATAGAAGTTTGGGGTCTATGACCTGCTGTCACTTGGTTAACTATATTGGAATTACCCAACAATCTATTTAAACATCTTTTGAGAAACTCCAAGCGTGAAGTGCCAAGGATATCTCGAACTGAGGGTGCAGTACCTGGTCTAGACATCCTTGCTGCAATTGTAGTGGATACGGGCACCATTCCTACAGATCCAGACACCACGGATGTAGGATCCAATATGGTGTATCGTATATACTCGTGTATAGTTCGAGTTTTTAAGACCAAATTTTTAGGCAAAAAATTGGGGGTCTTCCTATACATGCGTAATAGTTTTGTTAGGTTGAACCCGTGCATGATGGGAAGGGCGAGGAGCAACTTTTAGCTTCAGACGTGAAAAATATTTACCATTTACTGCCAGTAAACAATGGAAATGTAAAATATGTACCAATTAGTAATGAAAAGTTGTGCAGTTCCTTCAGTAAATGAAGCTCACCAACTTACAATAGGCTAAATTACCTTACAACGTGCTTTCAGTAGTCTATGTTGAAGTTCTTAGCACAGGCTAACTTATCATATCATATACGGTATCACAGTTCTCATTGATCTACAAAAAATACCGGTATTAAAAACCTTTTCGATATTTCACACTTAATATAATACCCGGTAATCTACTTCAACCTCCTATTGTTTACAACGACGCATGACGCATCACGCACCACCAGCTGTATCAGCTAGATGGTACACGTGTTTTTCGAATCGTTTTCAGTTAAAAAACTGTTACATCACACGTATATTTTACCTAAACTGCGCCTGAATGAATATATTCTCGGAAATAAATAGTAGTTTTGCTGAAACGTGATGTATTTTAATGTAAAATAGGATAAAATACATGACGAAAACAAAAGATTTTACCTAACCTTCCGATGTTCAAGAGAAGTTACTCGTTTTTTTAATAGTTTTTGGTTAAAATATTGTTATATTACAATGGTATTCTATTCATACTGTGCTTGATATAATGCATTCACGGAAATGTAATATTTTTGCTGAAATGACGTACGTATTACAGTGGAAAGTGGGATACAATCGTGACGAAAACAATGACTTTCGCTTTCTTTCGTTCAAAAGATGTTACCGTAATCGCTTTTCGAATGGTTTTCAGTTAAAAAACTGTTGTATTACGATAATATTCTATCCTAATTGACTTGAATAAATACTACGATACCATATTTCTGAATATTTTCATTAAAATCCATCAAAATCATTTTCCTTGTCATCGTCTGCAGCACCAAACTGCTTCTCCCAGTCCTCTCCTTGAACAGGGCTACAGGGTTACGAGTTTTTCGAATCGTTTTCAGTTAAGAAACTATTACATCACACGTATATTTTACCTAAACTGCGCCTGAATGAATATATTCTCGGAAATAAATAGTAGTTTTGCTGAAACGTGATGTATTTTAATGTAAAATAGGATAAAATACATGACGAAAACAAGAGACTTTACCTAAGCTTCTGTTCTTGAGATGTTACTCATTTTTTTAAGTGTTTTTGGTTAAAATTCTGTTATATTACAATGATATTCTTTTCATACTGTGCTTGATATAATACATTCACAGAAACGTAATATTTTTGCTGAAATTACGTACGTATTACAGTGGAAAGTGGGATAAAATCGTGACGAAGGCAATGACTTTCGCTTTCTTTCGTTCAAAAGATGTTACCGTAATCGCTTTTCGAATGGTTTAGCTAAAAAACTGTTGTATTACAATAATATTCCCTCCTAATTGACTTGAATAAATACTTGAATGGAAATATACAATATTTTTGTTGAAACTACCCGCGTTTCAGTGTAAAGTGTCGTAATAATAAATGGTAAACAATTTGCCTTTGGCACTCGTGTTTCATGCACGGCGAGCCTCAGTTTATAGGACGTAGAGCGTTTTT